GGCCAGCCTCGTCCCTCGAGGCTCACCTTCTTGTCCCTCGTCGTCATCCTCGCAGGTGCTGTTGGGTACGTCGCCAATGACTCGGCTTTCACTCTCACCGCATACTCCTGGGCATTAGCTTACCTTGTTACAATCACCACTGAGATGGTTTACATTAAGCACATGGTCTCGAGTCTTGAATTGAACACTTGGGGATTCGTTCTCTACAATAATCTCTTGTCTCTGATGATCGCACCCTTCTTCTGGTTTCTCACCGGGGAACACACCGAGGTCTTCACGGCCGTGAATGCCAACGGAGGCAACCTCTTTGAGCCCGTTGCGTTTTTCGCCGTGGCGTTGTCCTGTGTGTTCGGTTTCCTCATCAGCTTCTTCGGATTCGCTGCTAGGCAAGCTATCTCCGCCACGGCTTTCACGGTGACCGGCGTTGTGAACAAGTTCTTGACCGTTGTGATCAATGTTCTGATTTGGGACAAACACGCCACTCCCGTTGGTTTGGTTTGTCTCCTTGTCACCATCTGTGGAGGCGTTGGTTATCAGCAGTCCGTGACCGTGGCTAAGAAACCGACCAACGGTCCGTCGCAAGTGTCGAACATCGAGAAGGCTGATGACGAGTTGATGGAGCTGATTCCTGGGAAAATAGCTTCTAATGTATGAGAGAGGCTCCATTGTTTGCATCCTTTAATGAGGTTTAGCATTTTGATTTGAGATTGAATTATCTTAGCCTTTTATTTTTTTTTTGCTTTTATAGAGGATTCTAGCTAAAGTGTTCACATTTTTTCTGGTTCCTGGCTTCTTATAGTATCAATTTTGTAAACTTGTTGCCTCTCATCCTCTTATCAATTAATACGAAATTCAGTTTTATGTTCTTCGCTGTTTTGTTGTTTTTGGTCTAATGCAAATGTGAAAGAACAGTTAAAGGTCACATCTTTCTAATCGAATTGTAGTAATTGGCAAAGGAATGGATTTGTTACTAGTAAGGAGTTGGAGTCTTGTGCTTTGAAATGTTTTACATTTTTGTCAGCTACAACAAGAATCTCAGGTTTTTAAATCCATTCAGTTGAAACATGACTGTCTTAGGATGTGTCACGGCATTCTATAATTGTAACACTGACATCGATTTTGAAGCTCTAAAAGCTCCGCAGAACCTGAAATGCTTAGTCACGTAGCGACGATAAGTACTATAATCTAGACTCAGGACTACAAATGTTTACAGCATCATCAATTTCTAAATTTTAATGACAAGTACATGACTCTTCGTTATTTATACCACACGACTAACATGAGTTATGGTATATAACTAATGGTTCCGTTAACTTATAATCCCACAGAGTGTACTTATAAATTTCATACTGAAATATGAACGATAAAATTTTCATTAAAATCGCTAGTTTAGACTTTAGACTATGATATGTATGATCGTTCAGTAAAAAACCGTCCACTATATTTTTGACGCAAACGATTTTGATCTAGTGAAGATGATGTTCACTCCTTAAGATTTTCATAAAACGTATTTTTAATGACATGTTGCGTTTCAAAGTTTGTGTTTTCTATAAAGTTTGTTTCATTGATTTCTCTCTGTCTTTTGTTCCTTGAAACTTAAACACTAAACTGGACTGCTTGGTTCGTAGTACTGGTAAAACTTGTTTAGATGATTTTTTCTTTGTATCATATGTTTTTTGATTATGTTGAAACTTTTCGGACTACACGCCACCAATGTTTGTAAACACGCCACTTGGCATACGTTTGTAGACATTAGTGCAAACTTGTCTTGTTGCCTCTACACGCGAGAGCAATATGATCCACGAAGCTAGCTTATAAAGACTCTTTACAGAAGAAAAGTTGAGGTCGTGGGTTGGACGCAATCTGACTGGATCTCCATCTTTGTGGATGATGAATGCTCCATAACAACGCCGGTTCACATATTTCGTTTGTGTCTTTTTGTTTTTGTTTTTGTTTTTTAATATATATCTATTACATTTGTAGAATGACATTTGGTTTCAACCATCAGAGCATTCTGCGTTTCGCCATTTTTTTTTTTTTTTTATGGTTTCAGGTTTTCACATGTTACATAAAAAGAAAAGTGTTTTAGAATACGGTTGCTTTGTATGGGCTGTGTTTAAGTGTTTCATTACATATTTTTACTAATTTTTGAATATATAATCTCATTTTGTAAACGATTCTAATGAATCAATGATAACAGTCACTACTAATGTATTCCATAAAGCCACTACTAGTTCAAAACTTTTAACAACATAAACATAGTTACAACGAGAAAATACATACTGTATATTGGAATCTAACATATAGTTTTTTCCCCTCTTATTATTTAGGTTGTGCCTTTTTTTATAAGCCCGTGATTCAATTATTTCGAAGAGTTTGCATCCGTGGTTGACTTGAATCCTCACGAAGCATGACACTGTCCCAGCTCGTGAAATTCATTTATTAATTTCCAACAATCATATAAAAAAAGCGTATGGTCGGCTGATTGATACCGACATGTATAAGTATAATATAAACTTTTTGAAGTGTTACAAAGAAAATTTGAGGCCAGAAGAGAAGCTAATCCCGGCCATATTTGATCCTTGCAAGAATCTACAATGAGGCAGTGGGAGCCACTCCCACTTATCCCTCGCCTTATCATAATCCAACCATATTATATTCCATAAACCCTCATGATTCGTCATTAGGGCCACTCTAATCACCCCTAATCTCCTCTCTAAGCATCCCATCATCACACCACAAGGCTTGTTGCTGATCACATTACTTGGAGCTCTTGACACTAACTCCCACTTCTCACCATTTGAGCTTATTTCCCAAACCTCTAAACTCTTCATCTTCTTCATCTTTGATAATCCTACCGTGTCTAATCTTATAACCACTTTGTATTCATCTCCATGTATATGCAACAGTTGATTCTCTAGATCGTTCCTGCTGAATCCGACACTTGACGGGCATTCTCTGGTCGCGTCTTGGTTAATCCTCGGTCTCAAAATCGCTGGAACCCGATTTATCATCGAACCATCGTCCACGCACATCACAACACTCTCGTGAGGTCGATTTGATAAGCTCAAGAATACATTACTACTACTGTTTTTCGTGAAAGCCACATAATAATTCGTATTTTCTGCTTCTTTAGTATGCCACGTATTTGTATTTGAATGATAAGTAAATAGAACCGGTCGGTTATCTACCATCTCAGCAAACATAAACCGGAAATGATTTGGATTTGATGGATCGGGGACAAGCTTCATACCGGATCGCCTCCAAGACGAAGTTCCACGTGGACCTAACGGACATGAGCTGATTCTTCTAACGCTCTTGTCCACCAAATCAACGGCTATGATTCCACTATGAGTGTTGGAAGCAAAGAGAAGGAAGTTACCGCTAGCTGTTAGTAGATATAAATCTTCGCCGGGGAAAATCTCTCCGGTCAAAATTTCAGCCACTGGAATCTTGAACCACCGTACAGATCGGTCGGAAAATCCGTGGAGCACACCACTATCGCGACGCCAACGTCTCGTGTAGACGAAGATCCACGTGTCTCTCTGTGATCCATCGTTGAGTTGACGGATGAAACTCCGGTCAGAGATTGTGGTCAAAACATACTTATTGAGTAGTTTCATTCGGATGATCTCAGGTATACAAAGATGGAATAAGATGTTTTGTATGAGCTCAGAGGGAAGAAGGCAAAAGCCAATGTTGGTGTTTGTGTCTTTGTTACATCTTTGGCTTTTTTCCATTTCAGAATGTCTTTTTTTTTTTAAGGTGTTTGATTTGAAAGGATCAACTTCATTGTTGTAGCCTATATATATAGAAGAACGAGAGTATAGTTTCTCTGTTATATTTGATAATGGCCAATAAAAAGATATAGGGTATTTTATAAAAGATTTAAATTTGTGGTGGAAATATAATATATTTTAAGTTCACTTGTTAGGTCAAACCAAAGTTACTTGGATAATGGAATGAAGTTTTGGTATTCTATTTTTTTAATTAGAGTTTAAGAAAACATCGAAAACACACATACAGTAAAGTTGATATGGGGGGCATGACTCATGCCGCATGAGCTACTAAATTACTTGCATCTGTAATTTATCGACGCGCATTGAATTTTAACAAAGAACCAGCATGAGATTACTTGAGTGACCCAATACAAGTATTTCTTAAGAAGTTTTATGCTATAATAATTCCACGAGCTAGTAACACTTTCGTGAGTGCTTTCTATAAGACTACACACTTATTAAAGTTAACCTAAGTACTCTTTCAACAATCATAGTCGTCAAACCACTAAAATATTCATATTCACATCGATTTGACAATACGGTTCTCGCCAATAGAACAAAGGAGAACCTCTCACTTGAGCCCCGCCACGGGACATTGAACTCTATAAAGATAATATCGATGATAAATATGTGAGGAACAAATCCATTTTTTAAATCCCAATTTTTAAATTCTAGTTTTGAGATTCCCTAATGGTTAGGCATTATTTAGCCCCATACGAGACGTCTAATTAGGGGATTGATGACATATATCATGAATATTGTACTTACTGAAATTTTATATAAGAAGAAAAACATAGAGTATCTTAAATGGGGTTGGTTTATATAATGATTTGAGTGTTGGTTGGCTAACTTGGCTTTACAAGCAACGATAGGTCAATGGATGGATGGCCATATCTTAATCAAACTAAAAATATTTTGTGCTTACGACTAAATGGACGGTGGAGATGATGATCAGGTCAATCTTAACAGTCTCATTGGTTTTTTACTTACTGTACTTGGTAGTGAAAAAAAAACAAACAATAGAAAACACACACAAATTTGTCAACGTCAACCAATAAAATAATGACATGTCACTTTTCAAAAAATCTTATAATATTTTTGATGTACAAAGAAGGAAAAAAAAGTTGAGAAATTAAAATATATTTTTATTTTATTTTTAAACCCATTGTTGTATAGTAGTAATTAACTGATTATTTTCCGTTTGGGATGAATTTTTGGGATCCATCGATGGTTGATTCGTGAAGTTTGTTCGTCAATTAAATTGATGAGCAAATGATATAAATTAAACTCTTACAAAAGAGCGTTTCACGTAGTTAAGATCTGCACACTTAGCTAGTCTCTTAAACATTTCCAAGCCCAAAACCAGTTTTGATCTGATCCAACCAGTACCAAATCCAACTTGCTCGGCTCGGAAAAAAAAAGAGCCAAAGCTAAACTTATGACTGAACAAATCATACATGCCAATGACTGCAGTCATTACGCTGCGACTTATACTACACATACCCGTTTCCAAGTTCTTCATCAGCACCTGCCACGCCTTCTCTAGCTGTTGAATTAATAAGCGACTGCGGAAAAATAAAAATAGAAACTTGTTTTCATCACGCCCTAAGCCTCATGTAATGACAATCACATGAAAATGATCTAGAAACTAACCTGGAGTTCCTGTTCAGAGTCTTTCAGGTTGTCCGTGCACTCTCTAACCTTTGAAAAAGATTTATGTAGCTACCAAAAACATAGACCAAACGTCGAACTTAGTCAACAAAAACTACCCTAACCCGGAAAAGAGGACCTGAAACTATGTTTATTTACCTTTGCCAATTCTTTTCTTCGTTGTGAAGTCAGTTTCTTTTCATTAATCAGTAATTCCTCTAATCTCTGTGTTAACCATTTCAAAATGAGAACAAATCCATAGTAAATTACAATATATTGGGTTTCGTAAAAGACAAACATACCTTAGACTTTTTCTGTAGCTCCGAGCACACTGCTTCTTTTTCTCCCAATCTGTCTTCCATCACCAGTACCTTCAAATTGAAACTAATAAGACTATAATTTCTCCCATCTCCCATGATTATGTAAGGAATCTCTTGCTCCATTGGTTTATATGTCAACGAGTAACTGTGGCTAAAACGACCTCATACCTCACCATGAAGTGCCTCGCGCATCTTAATCAGCGCTTCCAGTTCTTCTTTCACCTGTGTAAAAGACGCAATTTTTTCACATAAACTATTGCTGCAACAATACACGTCTACCAAACATCATCTTTACCTGAAAACTGTGATCTCCACTTGAATTAGATAAGTGATCTCTGCCACGCCCACCACCATCAGGCATAATACTGTCAATTCAATAAAAGCACACAAGGATTCAGACATCTCAACCAAACCAAAGCAATCAAAGTGTTGCCAGTTAAAGTCCAAGCACTGCATAAACACAATCTAAATGCCACGGTGCAATTGTCGCCTAACTAGCAGACCAATTTTGTAGGAAAAGCGAATGTCTACAGGAGGAACACTAGAAGCTTGAAATCACATTATACAAGTACAAAAATTTCAAACAAAAAAACTTTTACCTATCATCTCTCTTTCTTTCTTGGCTCCTTCCTTCGTGAGCACTGTTCCCATTGCTTCCCCTGCCAGTTTTATCACCATAAGACCTATCACCACGCCAATCTCCTTCACCACTTTCGAAAACTCTTTCCTTGTAACCATTCCTATCCACCACATCATGATCGTTTCTCCTCTCGAAACCATGCGAATGTTCATACGCACTTTCCTTCTCAATGTAGTGATCTCTCCTCCTGTCCTGAGACCTATCCCGTTCTCGGGACCTATCACTGTACCGATCCCTGTCATAATCACTTCTTCTATCAGGGCTGTGTTGTTGAAACCGCCCTTGACCTGGATTCAATCTTCCACCACCTCTTGTCGTCACCTCATTCACACGCACCACACGCCCACCAATACTCTGCTCAGTACCGTCAAAAATTATAAATAGAACGGAAAAAACTTTAAGCTATAAAAATCAAAGCCTCAATTCTTTTTTTAACAACAAAGAAGGAAGAAGCATACTTTTCCATCCATGTCATGGATAGCATCATCAGTCGATCGACGATTTGAAAATGTAACAAAGCCATAGCACTTGCCTCTTACACTCCGGTCATTCACAATCTTTGCATATGTAAAAGAAAAACAGCCGAAATGAATTTCAGTATCCTGAAAGTTATGAATTATCTGGGAAAAAATAATCGGCAATAAAGAAAAACCAAAATTAGGAACTTGAAGCAAATAAGGGAAAGAGAAATTCACCTTGATGTTGAGAATGGTGCCGTATATGGAGAAAACACGGCGGAGATCCTCCTCGGCGATGTCGTAAGGGAGGCCGCCGACGTAGACGGAATTATTATCGTCTATCGTCATTATTACTGTTTACTGTTTGTCGACTTTGGGATTCCACGGATAAGGCAGGTACATACTCAAATTAGTTGTAATGTCCATATATTGCGAGTTTTATATGGGCCATTAGGCCCACTAAATAAATCCGGGAAAGTACTAGGCCGGTTTTTGAAAGTAAATATTTAGGAGTCCAAAACAAAAACAAGAGAGGAAGAGAAAAATGTCATTTAAATGCTAAACTTTCAAATTTCAGCCATTATAAGCATCATATTTTGTGTGAGTCATTTAAATAACAAATTTTTTGTTGACCGATATTAAAATCATAAATTTATGTTGACTCAGCTATTTTAGGCACGACGTTACCATTAACAGATTGACTATCAACGTCAGTTAGTAAATTCAATGTAATATCTAATATGGCCAATCAATATAAATTTATAATTTAAAAAATAATCGATATAAAAGTTTGTGATTTAAACTGTCTACTCAAAACTTAATGCTTATAATGGCCGAAATTTAAAAATTTGGTATTTAAATGACATTTTTTTTACTAAACGATAACTTTTATTTCTAATTAAAAAAAATATCTCAAACTTAAGATTATACAATGTAAAAGATTAAGAATCTTAAGGTTTTTGAAGTTTGTAATTAGCAATAAAACTGATAAAAAAGCAGTTTAAACTTAACCTATTGAAGTTCTTTGAGATAACACATGATTCACTTTACAATGTGATTTTATAAACAAACCCCAAATAGTTCAAGATGGTAAGATTACAATAGTTCTCTCCCATAACTTGAAACTCTAATCTTTCAGTAAAATTGTGATCATGAGCGATAAATAATCATTGTTTTATGGATTTTCTATTTACTAAACGCAAACCAAATTAATTTCTTATTATGATAACGCTAACGAGATAGAACAAGTATTTTTGTGTTTGGCATCTTTGGAAAAGAAAAAGGAAAAAAAAAAGTATGAAACGTACCCACTACACAAAGCAAATCTTTTTTTATAGTTCAGTTATATAAATAACTAAATATGAAACTTATCGTAATAATAGAGATATTAGTCGCACGCAATTAGTTGATAGTCTTCCCTAATTTATGGATTGTACTCAACTAGTCATTTATTTATCACAATCTGTCGTAAGATTTGCATTCTTAAAAACTCTTTAGATGTGGTTAAAGTGATTTTTTTTTTAAGTTAAACTAAACCTTTTCATTTTTTTGTTGTTTTGGTGTAATATAAATTTAATTTACATTTAAATATATTTTTAATTAGTTTAGATTTACTTGGTTTTGTAGTTATGTAAAGTTGTAAACTGGTTAAAATTGAAGTTCACTTAGTAGAAAGAAGAGAAAAATACCATTTAAATGCCAAATTTTTTAAATTTCGGCCATTATAAGCTTAAATTTTGTGTGATCAGTTTAAATCACAAATTTTTATATCAATTATCTTTTAAATCACAAATTTATATTGACTGACTATATTAGGCATGACATTGAATTCACTAATTGACGTTGATCAAACGGCGTTTAGTCAATCTGTTAGTGATATTAACGTCGTGCCTAAAATAGCCAAATCAACATAAGTTAGTGATTTTAATATCGGTCAAAGAAAAATTTGTTATTTAAATGGATCACACAAAAGATGATGTTTAAAACGGCTGAAATTTAGAAATTCAGCATTTAAATGACATTTTTTCCAAAATAGAAGTAAAAATTAAATATTTTCTTGCAAAATTAAAAAGAACACAATATTTTTGTTTTCGCAATTTAGCCCAAATTAATAAAATCTTGCACTCCTCCGGCGAACCTCCCTGTCGTTTGCGCAACGAGAAGATCGAGGTAATGGAAGGAACATCCAGCTCGTCCGCCGCCGGTAACACCTACTCCGTCGTGATGAATGCACTAACTAGCCGTGGCTGGTGCTTGAAAGACGTCGATTACTTGAAGGCTATGGTCATTGAAATCTCCTCCTCCATCGGCGGCGGTAATAATCAAACAGGGGCGGTCGTGAAGTCAGTGGAGGCGGAGCTGCTTAACATGGATATTAGGTTGATCGGAGGTAAATCCCTCCCCGACCCGACCGAGTTGCGCAGGTGTTCTCATCTTCAAGGCCCCAAAGTTCTCCAGGTAGATATATTGCTTCTTCTCATTCACTGAACAGTAGCAAGGGTCAGATGCGTAGAATTTATTTGACATTCTTATATAATCCTTAACTTGTTGGTTTTGGGTTTTGGCTAATTCAATAAGCTGACTCTTATCGTAAGAGAACCATAGACCAATATACTGAGATATTCAGTAGTTAAAGATTTGAAAAAGGAGTATGTGAAATTTTCAGAATGCTCAGTTTAGTTGCATTTGATTCATGCTGTTGTGTATTCTCTAGTTTTTAGTTTGGAAGTTGTAGTTTCTCTGTATTGTGCTAATTGTGTTGTCAATGCTTTTCTTTTGTGAGCATAGATAAGTTCTGTTAGGGATGTGACGAAAAGTAGCGCAGAGGAATTTCTGGGAAGCTCGACTGGTAAACGAGTGCTAAAACTCGCCCTGACTGATGGGAAGACAGAGATATCCGCGCTTGAGTACTCTCATATCCCATCGATTAACAATGATGTGACTCCTGGTACTAAGGTATATTGCATATCAATCTTAAGTCGATCCTCCTTGACAGGTTCATATTGTGTTTTCTGTTCATTATTCCAGGATTGAAGCTAGTGTATTTATGTATTTTATTGATATTTTCTACTGTCTCATTGGCAGGTCCGTCTAGAAAATAAGGCTGTGGTACGTGACGGTCTAGTATGTTTGACATCAAAAGAGGTGACTGTATTGGGCGGTTATGTGCAATCACTCACTGAAGAGTGGCAGATGAAGAAGAAATACGCTAGTTTGTCTCGTTCATCTGGAAGGCAATCTCAGGAAGGCAAAGCTGGTGATGGCCCTCCTCCATTTGAGGAGTTGAAGATTCGAACAGGTTCCCATCACCATGGTAAGCAAGCTTTTGTGATTTTGCTCATTGTCTTTCAATTTTATTTTAGTACTCTGTTGCATTTTGTTTTCACTTAGTAACGATTGGCCAATCTTTGTTAACAAATCGAGTTATTATCTTCCATTTTTGTTTTTTTTATGCTCCAAAATCCCTATGTAGACTATGATGACTCGTGTAGATGTTATCTATGTTTAAATTTGTCTGACTGCATTTTCATTGTGTGGTAATATGATGGTCTATTGAACTGCTCTTCATTTGTGTTGTGATGGAAGTTTGGAGAATGTATCAAAAAAATTAATCGTGGGAATATGTCTGATCGTTGACAGATCACTACAAGACGACTTCTAGGAACATTGTAGCTACTGCTGCAGAAAGCAGCGTAAAACATACCGGTGGAGAAAAAGGTGGAACTAGTGATATTGATGGGAACAAAAAAGGTACAGATAAGAATTTACAGAGGAATCCTGCAGATTCTGATCAAAAAGTATCTGTCAAAGTTGAAGATCAGGAAAAGCCAAGCACTTCCGATACAAGACCTAAACAAGGTGTGTTATCTACTTGTTCCCTACTCGCTCTAGATCAAACGCTCATTGTATAGCAGAACGTTTTGACTCCTTAAAGTAGTGTAGCATTTTCATCGGGAAAATGTGTTGATCCATTAGATGAAATATTAATCATTCATTCCTATAAGGCCAAGTAACATCTCACATGTTGCAGTGGTGGAAGCTGTTCCTTTACAGAACCAAGCGGCTGCCCAGATACTTCTTGAGAAGATGAAACATTCTTCAAATGAAAGGCAGTACCAAGGAAGAAGAGGTAGAGGTAGGGGTAGAGGGAGGGGACGACAAGACGACGACTCTGCAGTATTTACACTTGAGGAGTGGGAAAAGAGGAATACTGGTGGGGCAGTTCTTGCAGCAGCCGACCATCCCAGCGACACCACCCGCGATGAAGATCTTGCATGGCAGCTTCAGAATCAGTTTGATCTTGAAGACTCTTATGTGAGTCACAACAACCTTTATTATCCGTCTTCTTTGTTTTCAACTGCACATTGAATCAATTAGCACACCTTTTATCTATCATTCAATGCCTTCTGGCTTATGTATCAAGACCATTCAATGGTTACAATGAGAGAGCTGTAATTGTACTTTGCTATTTAGGGACAGGAGGTGCATGGAACTGGGGCAGCAGATATCAGAATGAATATGTTTGATTACGGGAGAGCAGACGATAATTTTGGCCATGGAAGGGGAAGAGGAGGAGGAAGGGGAAGGGGAAGGGGAAGAGGGCGAGGACAAAGGCGGGGAAGAGGACGTGTTTAGAGTGTAATGAAATTATCTAGGCTTGTGGTAATTGAACGAAACTTCATCGTAATCTTCATTCACATGTGTGCATTTTCATGTATATATATTACAGAGCATTATAGATTCTTTAGAAATGACTCATGTATGCTTCGTTCCTCGCAGGTGGCAACTCTGAATCTGTAGATGGTGGTGTTTCGAGTGGTTCAGTTTTTCGTGAGAGGTTTTGAATTTGAACATAATGCCTACTAGATGATAACTGGTAAGATGTAGCTTCCTCAACAACTTATCTGAAGTGAGACACTCTTGGAATGAAGTTTACATTACAACACAGTTCCATCTAAATCACCATTCATGTAGCTTTGTGGTTTTAGACCATTACACACTCACACACACTCGCAGGTGACCACATGTTGTTTCTTCTTTTCTCTAGTGAATTGCATTGATGGAAAAACAAATGGACGAGAGAGAGAGGAGAGACGGAAGTATATAATGTATTATTGACGCCTTCTAAAGACGAACAATGATCCTCTAGAGCCTAATCCCAACCTAAGTTTCTCATCAACGTATGTGATCCGAAGCTTCACTTCGCTTTCGAACCCGTATTTAAACTCCAGTGATCCTACCTTCAGTTCCGGAGGGTCGAATATCACCTGAACCCACTCACTGTCCAACACTTTCAGCTTCCCTACGAAGATCACACGCAATGTCCACCATTAAAACGGGCGAAAATGATCATATGCATTGGGTTTGATTGATCATATGCATTGGGTTTGATCAAATATGTATTTGGGGGTTTTGAAATTCACCTGTCAAGGAGACATCTCCGTCAAGAAAACCCAAAGCAGTGAAGGAAACTCTGTTCCTAACGATATCAGGAGAATCAATGCCTTGGATCATCTCTTTGGTTCTGAAGAAGAGGCGGCCTATCACGCTTCTGTAGCCTCCACCAGGAGAAGTCGGTCTAGAACAGTACACCACATCCCAATCTGCAGCAGAAAATGCAGGAGTTCACGTTTTGGTAAAGGAAGAAGCATCCGCATTCGCAGTCGCAGGCAGCTAGGTTCTTACCTCCGAAAATGAGAGGGCATTTCACAGGCTCGTTAACACAATACTTTTGAAGCTCTCCAGCTACTTGTGCCACCTCCTTGTGTTCCTCCGGGCTCAGTGTCACACCTCCATCGCTGTTCGCAACCTGTTCCACACCACACCAACTCCATAAACATCAAAACTCTCCTGGATTTTGCTATACGAGATCAATCTTCTGGTAACGGGAATACTCGGGAGGAAGAAAAGCTAATATTCTGGCGAGAGTAGAGATACATACCTTAGAGAGGAGGGAGGAAATGAGATCATCGGGTCCAGTACGGAGCTCGACTTTGGGCGCTGAAACGGAACTAACGACGAGTCCCAGTCTCTTACTCCTGCTCCGTGAATCGGCCTTGTACGGGATGGAATATTGAAGAGGGAAGTTTGAGCGCTTCGAGGAATGGATCTGAGTCCGTGGTTCGGAGAAAGACGACGCGATTGTAAGGGACGAAGCAGCCGCAGCCATTGTTGCTCAAGAGAGAGAGAGAACCAGATAATACGGCACAGGGTCACAGGGCGAGAGGGAGGAGGGAGAGACATACGGTTATCGTGTGATCTGGGTGGTGCCACGTAATAATAGAAATCGATACTGGGACCCACGTTGGATTCCCATCCGCCACGTAGGAAGATATGTTCTCCCGCGTTATCTTGTCTGTCCATTCGCCAGTTTACATTTCAAATATGGTAATTAGTAAAGTCAAAAACAAAAAAAGTACACTAATCGCAATTCATCCACGACATATCGGCCCAGCCCGTTTTAGACCCAATATTTGATACCAAGTCTGTTCCGGTTTAACCAATCAGTAGTTGGGGTCAGCTGCTCTCTCCCGTCGCCGAGCACAAAAGCAACTGAATCTCCGAGCTTCCGCATCTAACCGATTTTCCGCCACCGGAAAATGGAAACGTCGCCGCAATTCAGGCTTATCCTCGCCGTAATTATTTCTTCTCTCATCGCCTTCCGATCGTACAGGCGAAAGTCGCTCGACCTCTCCGGCGGAGTTGCTGGATTCCTCGTTATGACCATCCACTTCACTGCCGGTTTCAGGTTTGTTCTCCCGCTCTTGTTATTTTCGTTTTTCTGATTACACATTCCCTTGTTCGTGCATTGAGAAATTGTTTCGATTGTGTTCCGACGGGTTTTGATGGGCTCAATCTGTGAAATCTGAAAGGTACGGAGCTCTGCTGCTCGTGTTCTTTCTCACTTCCTCGAAGCTTACCAAGGTTGGCGAAGAGAAAAAACGACGCGTTGATGTTGAGTTCAAGGAAGGTGGACAAAGAAACTGGTAAATTTTCTTATTAGCAGTTGCCAGTTGCCTTCAATGCATCTTTCAATCTCCGTTTTTGTAAAGTCCGATTTTTTAAATTGTGCGTTTTTGCTTTCTTCAAGCATATTTTAGCCTCTGGAATTTTCTACAAAAGATGTTCCATTTCTATGAAATTTGCCTGGTAGAGCCTGATTTTTCAAAGTTCAAATGCACTTGTGAGTTTTTAGGAGTCTAAGTCAGCCTCTCTCGACTTTGGCAGTACCGTTGAACCACAAATACTGGACCTTTTGTAAACAAGGATACTTCCTTATCCTTGGTACATCATAATCTTTCTTCTTGGTGGGTGTATGTGGTTTAATAGGACAAATAGAATCGATGATTATGATTACTTGATTATTAAATGTTGATGTTGATATTTATAACTTCAGAGGAGATTGTTTCTTTTAGCCTTTTTTGGTCATTTAATAACTCTTAAATGATTTCATCTTCAGAAGTTCATACAACTCTTACTACATTTTCATTGGTATATGATGACCAACAAAACTTGCTTTGACAGGGTATTCCTCAAATATCTTGTTTCAGGGTACAAGTGCTTTGCAACGGTGGAATTGCATCAGTTCTTGTCGTAATTGCTTGTACTTTAACGGGTTGGCAAGACAAGTGCTTGGACTCGAAAGAGTCAACCATTGTAACAGCTCTTATTGGTGGGATCATCGGTCATTACGCGTGCTGTAACGGAGACACTTGGTCCTCGGAGCTTGGGGTGCTTAGTGATTCCCAACCTCGTCTCATCACAACGCTTAAGGTTCGTGTTTCTTGTTTCCTTTTCGCAAGTCGCTAGTTAATATTTAGCTAAACTTGTTTGGTCTCACTCTCAGCCGGTGAAGAAGGGCACAAATGGTGGAGTCACAAAGGCAGGACTCTTAGCTGCTGTAGCAGCCGGTGCCACTGTTGGAGTAACATTCCTTGTGTTCGGACTCTTTACTGCAAGATGTGCAAGTGATGTGGCTCTCAAGCAACTCTTAGTCCTTCCAGTCTCTACGATAGCTGGATTATGTGGGAGTCTTATTGATTCTTTGCTTGGAGCAACCATCCAATTTAGTGGTTTCTGTTCTGTCCGGAACAAGGTAAAGTTTTAAAAGAGAACACATGTAATACGTGGATCGTGGATCGAGGGAGAAGAGTATTTGACTGAATGTTCCGTGTGCAGGTTGTAGGGAAACCAGGGCCGACAGTAAAGAAGATAGCAGGTGTGGACATTCTTGACAACAATGGTGTGAACTTTGTCTCCATACTCTTGACATCTGTTCTGACTTCCATTGCTTCTGTGTACATTTTCTGAATGCTGAAGCTAATCACCTGCTTTCTGGACCGACTGTTTTCATCTTTTGAAGCCATTTTTTTGGTATTCGTTTTTTTTTCTTCTTTCGTAGAAGTAATGTTGTTGTTGTATGTTGTGATCAGTCTTTTAATTTCTTAGAAACATAGTCTTCTTTTGTGTTCAGTATATGCAACAATCACAGTCATCACAGCTACAAATGTCCGCTTCTTTTTTCTTCAGAATAATCCTAAATCAATTTCATATTTTCTCTCTTTTTTATTTGAGTTCTCTGTTTTATTTTCTGTTGAAGCTTGTTTAACAGATGTATCAATGTGTTGTTAAACGTCCGTTAAAAGACTACTATACTCGAATAAACTATAGGGTAATTTTTATCTATGTAAATTGTTTTTATTTGGGGGGCAAAATGATAAAATTTTGCCGGTCAAAATTCCAAAATTAGGACTAGTAAGATTTTGGCGACTCCTATTAGCCCTAGTAAGTAGAGTCAAGTGTCAGACAAAACCGCAAAAAGTGGGAAGACTGATTGCGAAATCGAAAACGACGAGAGGGAAAAATCACTTCTCACGATCGGGCGCGAAAAAAACGGGGAGGAGGAAGACGAGACTCTCTAATGGCGACGACGGCGATGAAGAAGCCGAAAATTGAACAAGGGGAAGCAGAAGCAGAAGCAAATTCGTTCGCAACTCGAATCCCAGATGATAGAGAAGCTCTATTAGAGTTCATGGACCAGCGTGCCAAGTCAATCCAACGCCTTAGAGAACAGATTTCTAACCTCGAGAGAAAGGTCTCTTCTTTCTTCTTTGCTTTCCATTGTTGTTATTTCATTCCCTTTCTGTGGCGTATGTGCATCAGTTCTGTTGAACTGGGTTTTGCATTTGTTTAAAGATTCGGGTTTTTTTCACAGCTCCTCGGATCTTCCCATATATTTTTTTAAAAAAATTTGCTATGAATGTTTCAATTAGAGTTCAATTTGAACGTAATTATTGAGTTTTTCTCATTCGATTGTCGTATATAATAATACCCTTCCGTTAATTTGTTTGATAAATTGATCTTGTTCTGAAATTACAGCTTGTTCAAGAGAGAAAACTGATGGCAGATGCGGAGGCCAAGTTCTTACTAGTTGATCGTGTTGAAAACGGTACCTTCTCTAAGACAAAATCAAAGGTGCCTAGTAAAACTGGAGGCTTGCTTGGTATACCAGAGTTCTGGACCGAGGGAAATAAAGCGAAGGCTCCCAATGAAACCTCTCCTCCACATACACGTAGTGGGACGGGATATGAAACCTCCTCTACTCCACATTCACGTAGTGAAGTGGATTCCTTGAAAATGCCATCCATTATATTACCGCCTTCTTTCAAGCGAAGAGCTCCTGCCTCTGTCAGACCAGAAGTGAGTGAGACCACCCAAGCTCAACCCATGGCTACAAGGGATTCCAACATCCCAACGGGAGGAAAAAGTGGTCCTGAACCCAAGAGATCTCGTACTGTACCTAATGAAGCGGTTAGGGAAACCCAAGGCCGAGATAACCAAACTGAAGCTCGAGTTCGAGATAATAAGGATCTTGGAAAGCCGAGGATCAGAGCCTCTTCTAACGTTTCTGTACAAACGCAACAGGAAAAATGCGGTATAAAAGCCTCCTCTTTTAGTCGATTTGCCACGTTTTAGCTTCTCATTGCGTCTGAAACTGTTGTTTTTTTTGTTTTGTTTTCAGATTTCCAAGGACATGATGAGCTGATAGCGCTTATAGGTAGAAGCTCTTTGCGTGCCACCATTAATAGCCGTACTGTAGCTATGCTACCAAGTGGCCACACGAAAAGAATGAGAAGTCTTGCTCTGTCTCCTTCAAACCGTGACCTATTTGCTACAAGGTGACTTTTACTTTATTTTTGGTTGTTTCTGTTGCAAAAGAGAACTAAAGACACGAGCTAATGTATCTACTGCCAGTCTCGTGGGTGAAATTCGTCTCACAACTGTAGATTGAGGCTTTGTCTGGATTCTGTACTAAGAAAATGGTATATACGTATAAGACAGTACCAAGAAAGACATTGGACAAAGTTACTTAATCTAATATACTCTCTACTCCTGTGCTTAATCTCCTTCTTTTTCTCTCTTCGTTTTGGTTTATTCTTCAGTGCATTGGATGGTGTGGTTCATTTTTGGAAGCTTCAGTCTGATAGGTAAGCCTACCTTATATATGCCTGGTCTACTGATTATCAAATTCTTGAAATTCTAAATCCATATAGTTCCTTGATTTTAAAATGTATTAAATTTTTTTAATATGGATTGGCAATTGACACCATCTTCATCCATCCATGTGATAAGTCGGCGAGATGTAGTTTTGCTTATATTTGTCAACAAACTGCAGTATTTATTAAGATATTAAAACATATAGTTTGTTCAAAGTTCTGACAAATTTTGGGTCTGTGAACCCAAGTCGTTTTCTGGCTCTTATTTTCATGAAATTTTTATCTATAGTTCATTAAATACTGAGTTACTGACCAATCCATCAACGCGAGCAGGTCCACAGCTACTCTGTTTAAGAAGGTTAATCGTGTAGCAATAGATCAGATGAAATGGGCAGAAGATATAGCTTGGCATCCACACAAGAGTGCACTTTTCTCTGTATATACTGCAGATGATGGTCACCCTCAGATATCAGTCTTAAATCTGAACGAAGCTCGAGAGGTAAAAAAGCATATGAAAATCTGTTAAGCACGTTAGCATTTTACCATTTTTATTGCAGATTGATGAGTAGAATAAGTTAACTTGATCTTCATAACCTGTTAGGAAAAGAAAAAAAAATCAATTTAGCTGAACTAATTGTGAATCAATTTAACTTGATCTTCATAACCTTTGACTTATCTAAATTGATGGTTATACTGTTGCTATCTTCCTGGAGGTAGTTATGTGCTCAAATGAGTTGGATTTTTGTTCATCTGCAGAGTTGTGAGTCAAAATTTCTCAAGGAGAGGCCTCACAGCAAAGGTCTTATCAACAGAATCATGTTTACGCCTTGGGATGATCCTTGTTTCATCACAGGTGGGTGTGACCACGCAGTAGTGTTATGGCGTGAACAATGTAAGAACAATGAGTGGAAATCAACGCTTCTGCATAAGGATTTTCACTCCTCCTCTGTGATGGGAGTTGCTGGAATGCGCCATAACAACCTCGTCCTGTCATGTGGAGACGATAAGAGATTTGTTGGGTTTGATGCCCAAGAAGAAAAACTCACATTTAGGCATAAACTAGACAACAGATGCACAAGTTTGCTGCCAAACCCGCGTGATGTGAATCTTGTCATGGTTCACACAAGGTAAAAAAAAAAAAAAAAAGAAGAAGCAAACTCTTGATTTACATATCCTCCTCCCAAGAAAATGCCATTAAAGTTCATTGCTTTGAATGTGTTGTGGTTGCAGGCAGCTCGACCGGCAACTGAGGCTGTATGATGTTAGATTGCCTCAGACGGAACTGTTTTCTTTTGGGTGGAAGCAAGAAAGCAGCGAATCGCAGTCGGCTCTGATCAACCAGTCCTGGTCTCCAGATGGTTTACACATCTCATCTGGCTCTGCAGACCCTGTGATCCACATTTTTGACATCCGATACAATGCACCGAGCCCGTCACTGTCGATCAAGGCTCATAAGAAAAGGGTGTTCAAAGCTGAGTGGCACTCTTCTCTTCAGCTACTCGTCTCCATCTCATCAGATTTAGAAATTGGGATTCACAAGCTGTGGTGAAAACTGATAAAAGCCTAAAGCACCTGAATCTTGAGGACATTTGAAGGCCAGTTAGTTGTAGTAGTATTAACTTCTGAAATGACAGAACTTTAGAACCTGGAGAGATCCTCAGTTCCCTAATCCTTCTTCCATCATTAGCATGATGAGTACAGCATTCAAATTAGTTCAAGGTCCCAAAATTATATTTCCAAACCACATTCGCGCCAAGAATTGGTTGCATAAAGATTCAATGTCTTCAAATTCAAGATTGTCTTTGTGTGGATTCATTGTTTTGACTTTTGATTCATGCAACCATGTGATCCTCAATTTTTTGTTTTTATCTTAAACTCATTATCTACAAAACTTACTTACATGAGAGACCAATAAATAAAATGCTTGTGAAAAAGGTGGAGTAAAGTTTTTTATTGCTTAAAGTCATGCATTGAACAAATTTTTTTTTGTAATATAAAAGATTTTTTTTTGGGGCCACCAGAAATTATATTCAGAACCGGTTTAGATTTGGTATACATATAACGAATATTCTATTCTAGAACCACAATCCTCCGTCTCCGTCCGTTCTCTCCCGGTGACTCGAGTCTCGTCGTAGCCGTCGCCTTTGGCTTACGCTCGCCTACTCCCACATCTCCTCTTTTACAGTCTAAGGTGAGCTAACGTCTGAATTAATTTCTGATTCCTCTAATTGTATATGGATTTTTGAGAACCCAAATTCGATTCTCGTCGATTTGTTGATTCAGGTTCAGTTCGTCCATGGCTTCCCCCGAGGAGATGGATGATACATCAGAGATTTCATCCCCGTGAGTGTATTTTCCTCTTGTGCGCTTTCATATGCTTCACTCTGCTGGGTTTAGTTTTTGAATTCGCATCTCTGAGATTGAGACAGGCGAAAGAACACTTACAAGGATCCCGACGGTGGAAGGCAACGATTCTTACTGGAACTTGAATTCATTCAGTGTCTCGCCAATCCTACTTACATTCACTGTAAGTATCTCTATATTAGGATTCGTTCCAAGTGTTTTGGATTTTGAAATCGTTTCCGTAATTGAGATTCAAGGGTTTACATGTAAGCAGTCTTCTTTCATGTACATTCCTTGATTACTTTAATGAAGTGCTTGATTGGATGAAAAAATGCTTTGTTTCTAGAGTTCTACCATGAAAGTAATGCCATGTGTTCTAGGTAACTCCTAATCTGCGATATGCAGATGCAGCACAATTCCCCATTTAGTCTTCTCCTTCTGTTGATAATGAGAATCTTCCTATTTCCCCAATCGATTTTGCAAAACATTAGAATAAACCTACTTATATAGCTAAGGTAACTCTAAAAGCTGCATGAAGACGTAACACCTGACTATAAGAAATTGATAAGAGATCCTGTGTTTTTGTAAATTCCATGGTGTACTTACGACCTTCTCCTGTGTTCGCAGACCTGGCTCAGAATCGGTATTTTGAAGATGAAGCATTTATTGGCTACTTGAAGTATCTTCAATACTGGCAGCGACCAGAGTACATCAAGTTCATAATGTGAGTTTGGGATACCTAATGGAGTTGTGGTAGTCTTATGAAGGTTTGAAGAAATATCTTATTTCTCTGCTTGTTTTATCCGTTTCCTTATGTTCTGTTATAGGTACCCACACTGCCTATATTTCCTCGAACTTCTTCAAAACCCCAACTTCAGGACTGCTATGGCCCATCCTGCAAACAAGGTAAAATGAATGTGATAAGAATCATCAACACAACATGTTAGTGAGCACTGTAAATAGGGAGTGCTTCAAATGTTTAGGGTAATGGTGTTTTTGGAATGGGTTTGGGGCCTTTTGGGGCTTGCAGATTTTAGTGTCACCAGTAAAAAACTGTAGTTACCTTCTGCTGCTTGGTTCTGTGATTCTGTGTTGTGTTATTGGATTCGTGAGAGATAGATGAAGTGGCACATAGACAACTGTTTTTACTAATGAATCTGGCTTTTTTTCTTTCAGGAATTGGCACATAGACAACAGTTTTACTATTGGAAGAACTACAGAAACAATAGGCTGAAGCACATTCTACCTCGGCCTCTTCCAGAGCCTGTAGCTCCACAACCACCAGCTGCACCTTCATCTACTCTGCCACCTGCGCCATCTGCAACTGCTGCTCTCTCGCCGGCACTTTCTCCAATGCAGTACAATAATATGCTTGCTAAGAATGAAACGAGGAATATGACTTCTGCTGGAATCGACCGTAGGAAGAGAAAGTATGTGCTCCTTTCTTCTTCCTGACTTTTTTTTTTATCTTTTCAGGATGACTGCAAATGTGGTTAGAAATACAAGTTACATTCTGATATATGTGGGTCATATAATATCAGGAAGGTTCCATAAGCAGTCCTTGCCCTGAAGCAGACACCATGGTCCCGGATATGCTTTCCTGCGTTTACTAGAGAGGAAGGCCTACTTGACTTGGGTTACAGAAATGTTGGAAACTCGTTATATTCATTCGGTTTCATAGGATGTATCTGGGATTTGTAATATCTGGTGTTCAATCTTTGTCTATGATCAGTATCAGTCTTTGTCTTTTGATTTTCTGGGCGTAGAGATCAATGTTATTGAGCCTATCGGCTTATTAGTAAATGGTAGTTTCGAGATGGGTTCGGTTTGTGAAATTCTCAAATGATTCTTTCGGCTCTAATCTTGTGGTTTTGCTTCTGCTTACGTTTAAACATGAATCACCATATTTGTTCGTTATTGCAATGAATGTTCTAACTCACGCATGATAGAAACCATTCATTAGGATTGCAACAATGTCTTATTTTTTTTGAGAAGCTTAGAGATGCAATAATAAAATTTATTCGACTTGTCAAACATTCGTCCTTGGCAGAGATTGCTTTTGTCGGTAAATACTAAGAGTGGGGTTTCCATGTTACACTTGTTGGTCGAATTTGTACTACATTCGTGCGGAGTGACTCTTTTTAACGTGTAGTTGACAACAAATATCTTTTTTTACTCATTAACTTTGACAACAATTACAAAATAATATTCCATGGAATTGATGAAAGAGGCTTATACTAGACCATGCCTCTTCTGGCATGATTCATAGTAGTGTGACTTTCTTTTTTTAACGTACATCACGATTCAAGATCTGGTCCATGGCAGTATGGCACTAATGTAAAAAGTAAAAACATATTCTCTCTTCGTCAAATCAGAGATTACCGAGTCAAGTAGTATGGAGTTTTTTTTTTATTTTTTTCTTCCAATAGAGTCTTTGCGTGGGTGATGGTATTGGTGGCAAAGAAGACATTCATTTCAAATCTCACTTATTCTTTCTTCTATCAAACAGAGATTTTCTAGACAACTTCTATCAAAAAACAAGGTTGTCTAAAATATTTTCTGTACTTTATTCATTCCAACAATAGCTCGTATCGATACAAGAATAAGTCCTAGCAGTATACACATAAAATCGAGTCCGTCTACCATAACAGGCCGGCATATAAATAGCATAAACTAATGAAAATGGGGAGAAAGAGAAATGAAGAAGAAAATAGTATAACACAAGTATAAAAAAGAAGAGAGAAGAACATGATGATGGACTAGAAACGGCTTTCATACCATTACATGTTAGAGATTTTTACCTTGAATGATTTATTATATGAACTTGGAAGATTTGTTAATATTGTACTATATTTTGGGGGATAATACATGTGTAATTTGCACTCAAATACTAATCCTTTGGAAAAATACTTCCTGGAGATAGAAAAAATAAATTATTTTACTATGTTTTTATTAGAGTTGAATTTATTTAACCGAAGTTGAATTTTTGTTTCTGCCAAATGTACAAGTGATTAGGTACTTCCACAATATGTCCAGCTAATAATAATAATACTATCAAAGAAACCCGTAACCGACTCTACCTTGAAAACAAATTAATCTTAACCGTTGGTTTAACATGTCGCATCTCCGTCGTTGATTGGACCCAGCAGCCTTGGCTCGCCTCTATTTAAAGAATCTCATCATCTCTTAAGCCGTTCGTACAAAGAGGTTTTCTTTGCCTTTTTATTTATCTTGTAATTTTTCCTGCTGCCAAAAAAAAGTTCCCAGATCCAATTACAAGTTTCTCAACTCCCAAATTTCACCTTAAACTGAACAAAGAAAATTTGAAATACGAAATCGAGCTATATATCCCAATCCTGAAAACTCAATCCGAGAGTTTTCTCTTGTTGGCTTTTTTTGATTGATCTGTTTGTTTTTTTCTTTGATCTGTGGTTTGTATTTTGGGGATTCTACTCCTAAACACTCAGATTGGTCTCCGATTCATTGATCTATCTGCTGATTTGCTTCGACTTTTCAATTTGCGAGATTAGGGTTTTGGTTTTTTTCAAATAAAATTCGATTCCATTTCCGTTAGTGTCTCTTTTATTGTAAGATGAACGATCAATCTAAGCTGATGAATCCGCCGCCACTACCACAGATGATAGGCCAGCCTCCGCTGCCGCAGAGGATGAATCCGCCGCCGCCGTCGCAGGTAATGAACCCGGTTCAGCCTCGGATTATGAACCAGACTCCGCTGTTGGGCCAGTCTCAGAGCTTGAACCATCCGATTATGGGTATGAACCAGCAGCCACAGGTTATGATGAACAACCAGCCTCTGATGATGAATCCCCGGAACTTTAACCTTAACCCGAGCTTGAGCTCCGAGTATCAGAACCAGCCTAATAACTTTGGATCGAAGCATTCGAAAATGATCCGGAACAATTGGAAAGGAAAGAAGATCACGAGCGACAAGAGGCCGATGATGGAGCCGAATAGGAGGATGCACAACTCTGGTATTCCGATGTACAACCCTCAGCAGCTATCTGGCTCTGGTGGTATTCAGGTCGGTCCTGCCGGTGCAGGTGGTTACAAGCCACCGACCCTGAACGAGCTGCAGTCGCAGAACAGGCTAAAAACCAGGAAGTTTTATCCGAAGAAGAAGTACGGTAACCGATACGTTCCTTATGCTCCGAGGAACACGACTTCGTTTATCATCAGGGCGAAGAAATCCGGTGGAATCGCCGAGTTGGTGTCTCCGTGCCCTGTGACGCCAGCGGTACTGCCTACGCCGATGTTCTCGCCTTCCAGGGAGGTGTTGGGTGATATGGCGAAAGAGGAATGGGGGGTCGATGGTTATGGCTCCATGAAAGGGCTTATCAGGCTTCGATCTGATGGACATGAGTTGGGACCTTATGACGAGGATGATGAAGACGAAGGAGGGTCTAGTGAGAGTGATGTGGAGGAGCATGTTGAGGTTGAGAGGAGACTAGACCATGACTTGAGCCGTTTTGAGATGATTTATCCGAATTATGGTGGCTCTGAGTATAACAATGTTTTGGAGAACCGAGTGGATGATCAGGATAGCCATATTGCTCAGCTTGAGGAAGAGAACTTAACCTTGAAGGAGAGGTTGTTCTTGATGGAAAGGGAGTTGGGTGACTTGAGGAGAAGGTTACAGTATCTCGAGAGGCGGGATATGGTTGCTGAAGATGCTAACGAGGAGGTTGTGGAGAATGAGTCTGAAAGCGACGGTGATGACACAGGGGGATCCGATGCACGTACTAGTGGTGACACAAAGGAGAACCATGTAGCTTCAGAAGACGTTTGTATGCAGGATGTTGCGGCGAGAGAAATCAAGGACAACAAGAGCAACGTGGATGAAGCAAAAGAGAACCAACATACCATTGGCGCGGGAAGCTCTGGGGAAACTAAACCTGAAGGTAAGGAACAAGCTGAAAAGGATTTTAGGGAAGTTTCAGGTGAACAATGCGAGGAAGCCACTCGGGTTATGGTTGGTATGGATCAGAGTAAGGAAAATGAAATGGCAGTTGAGAAGCTTGAAGATGCATCTGAGAATGATTCGGTTGGAGAACAAGGAACAACCATATGATACTTTGGACCAAGGAGAGAAAGCGGATTCAAAAGCACGGGAAACCATGATGATAGGGCGGTAACTGGTGATGCAAAGTTGAGGGCATACAAGAGTTCCCTTTTAAAATAATGTAAGTCTCTTATATGCACAGGCGTTAGTGATGGATCTCTGCAGCTCTATGATGTATATTGTCAAAATGTGCGTGTCGTAGTAGGCGTAGTTCTAGTTCTCTCATCGCTTATGTTATCAGAAGTCAGGAGAGTCTGCTTTCCCGGTGAAGTTCATATGAAGTCATGGTAAGCTTTCTTTTTCTGGTTCAGATCGTTTTACTTATTTCTGAGACGTGGTTGGTTCATCTTGTTGATGATAAGTTCCCTGGTTAATAAGATTGTAGTAAAAGAACTTGTGGATGATGATAGAGTTTGAAGTTTCTTATCTTAATGCATTGGATCATGTTTCACTTTTACTTTAAGCACAAGCAGTGTATATATGTGTCTTGGTTTGAGACAGCTGCAGAGAGCTGAGCTTGAAGAGAACCTCTGAGTTGCTTCCGGCCGAGTTGCACGCAGAATGAATGATGTCCTTTGACTTTTATCAAAGATTTGTTTTTTTCTTTACTTTTTCCACTCGTCTCTCTATTTGGGTTTGCGTTTGAGAAAACAGTGACGCGCCAAGCAAGTTTGGGCCCATATGGGTTAGTGGGTTGAGCTATTTAATGTCCATAAGACTTACCGAACACCTAAATTTTGACTTCTTTTCTTTCAATTTCAATATGAATGGTCGTCTCACTCTGCTTGAACAATAAATAAACTTGAGTCGTTACATTTCGAGTTGCGTCAATTATATATAAAAACTGCATAAAACGCCGTTTATAAACCTCAAAAAAAAAAAAAAATCGCCCGATTCACGTAAGTTGGAGCTTATTTTCTTTTACTTTTCTCCCATCTTTATGCATGATATTCTATTAATTTGATTCCTGGCTACCATCCGAATTCAGATGCTCATCTTGACCACACAAACACCATCTTAATGTTTGCGTTTAGATTAGGTATTCAGGAGAGCACAAACAAGCAAACACGCCCTAAAACATTTCATAGGGATCGAATGTGGAATTTACACAAGTATACAATATTGACATAAGATGATAAGAATTAAGAATAAGTACAAATGGATGTGGCATGACTTTATACTATATTTTAACTGGCATGCCGTATATATATAACTAAGAGCGCAAAGTGGAACCGATTTGGAGTATGCACTTTGTAAACTAAATAAATTCATTTAAAATCGCTGCTAGTTACAAAGTTCAAGTGGGATGTAATAATACATATACTACGCTAAACCGAACATAAAGAAAAGGACTATTAGGTGGAATATACCATCATTATCAAGGTAGTCTTCTGAGAGATGTACTTCGGAGTTGCTAAGTACTTTTCGTATGTTTTTTGAATATGATTTTATCCATCTCGGGTTTATAACAATCGATTTTAGATAGAAATTACGTACCTTCTTATTTGTGAAAGTGTTAAAGTAAAAATTTGGCTAAGAAAATATGTAACCAACAGTTTTATGATTATAACATGATATGATTCCAAATGTAACTTTGTAACATATGATGTATATAACATATTAATGAATTTCTGACTTACGATTTTTGGCGGATAAGTGACAAATAATCTTTGTTATGATTAATTTGTTGACTGAAAGAATAAAAAGACAGATATAATAGGTCATTCCCGTGAACTCTGATTGAAGAAAATGATTAAAAAAGTAGACAAATAAATGTTGTGATCAATATATATAGTTACAGTATAAACTATTACTGAATTTCTGAGTTGCGTTTTTTTGGCGGATAAGTGACAAATAATATTTGCTTTGATCAATTTGTTGACTGAAAGAATACAAAGACAAATATACTAGATAGTTTCCGTGAAATTTGATTGAAGAATATGATTAAAAAATTGACAAATAAATTTTGTGATCAATATAGTTTACACTATAAAACAGTAAATATAGATAAATAATTCCATAAAAATATTAAAATAGACTGATAAATGAGTTGTGCATGCATCCTAAAAATACATGTAAATACGAGTGGGGAGAGTTGTTTTACACAACATCCACTTGCGTCCTCGAAATACATTTAAATACAACACTATATATTAAACAAAGTTTGACATACATGTTAGCTCGAAAACACACTCACTATTATAGTGGATTAAACGTAAGATCAAACCGGCCGGCCAACTTACAAACAAGATAGAAATTCATGAATCTGTGAATGTAAATGGATCTTAGTGCCTGATCTTACAAGAATTATAAAAAATATGGAGCTTAATGCGTCCTGTTGAGCACAAGAAATCAATCTTTCAAAGCCGCCATACGTCACCGTGCACTAATCATTCGCTTAATAACAACCCCACTAACAAAAACAAAATTAAGCCCTAACTATTGTTCCTACCTATTTTTGGCTATAAATAGAACCCCAAGTCACATCTTAATCACTACCACCCTAGTAAGTCATTTCAACAAGCCATTCTAATTTCTAAACAATGAAAACACAAACCAAGTTGATGGGAGCACATGTCTTTCTTACTGTTTTCACTCTATGTATGCTTTGTTCGGGGGTTAGGGCACAGCTAAACCCTGACATTTATGCTAAATCATGCCCGTCTCTTGTGCAAATTGTCCGTAAACAAGTTATGATCGCCCTGAAAGCCGAGATTCGGATGGCTGCTTCACTCATTCGTCTTCATTTCCATGACTGCTTTGTTAATGTATGTATTGTTATCTCTAATTCTTCTAAATCTATTTTCTTGTTTAGGATATTATTACAACTGTTCCAACTTGTCATCAGTTTGGTAAAACCTATAGCATGAAATTTTCAGGGGTGCGATGCGTCTGTATTGTTGGATGGAACCGATAGCGAGAAATTAGCGATCCCAAACGTGAACTCTGCGAGAGGATTTGAAGTTGTTGATAATATCAAAGCCGCTGTGGAAAACGCATGTCCTGGTGTTGTTTCTTGTGCTGATATACTCGCTTTGGCTGCTCGGGACTCTGTTTTCTTAGTAAGCGTTTTTGTTCCCACTTAACAGCCTTAATTTACTTCTAATTTCAGGCGATCACTCAAAATTTGGGTCAGAGATTTTTACTATTTAACACGAGTAATTGATTAGGTTTATATATAGTGATAAATAAATGATTAGGTTTAAGTTAGTCTATTATAATAATAACATTCTTTGTTTATGATGATCTATTATACTTACACACGTATACTCTGGGATTTGAACCAGATTATTTCTATTCTATTATTTTTTTTCTTTGGTTGCCTAAAACGGGTTTTGATTTGCAGAGCGGAGGGCCACTGTGGAGAGTGGCATTAGGAAGAAAAGATGGATTAGTGGCAAATCAGAGCAGTGCAAACAATCTCCCATCTCCATTTGAACCTTTGGGCGATATCATTGCCAAGTTTATAGCTGTAGGCCTTAACGTCACCGACGTCGTAGCTTTATCAGGTTTATTACTCATTTCTTCAATTACACTATTTCGGGGATATTCTTTTCTTCTAAGCCACTTATCACTTAAGCATGCATGTACGTGTTTTTTTTTTTGGTTACAAAGGAGCTCACACCTTTGGACAAGCAAAGTGTGCTGTATTCAGCAATCGGCTGTTCAACTTTACCGGCGCTGGATCTCCGGACGCAACACTTGAGACGACACTCCTGTCTGATCTGCGAACAGTTTGTCCCGTCGGAGGAAATGCAAACCAAACAGCTCCCCTTGACAGAAACTCTACGGACGCCTTCGACAACAATTACTTCAAGAACCTCCTCGAAGGGAAAGGTCTTTTGAGTTCTGATCAGATTCTGTTCTCGAGTGACTTGGCCGTGAACACAACAAAGAGACTTGTGGAGGCTTATAGTCGGAGCCAGAACTTGTTTTTCAGGGACTTCACTTGTTCGATGATCAGAATGGGAGGTATTTCGAATCCTGTGAATGGATCTGGTGGGGAGGTTAGGAGAAACTGTAGGGTTATCAATAATTAGTAGTATGTGTGTTTTCGATTTTCTGTAATGTTTGGTTTGGGTGCCGATCAATCTCGTGTGTATCAAAATGATCACGTGTGCAATAATAAGAACTTATGGTGTTCCTTGTGGAAATCGAGGTATGATTTGAAAATTGTCAGTGATTTAAAAAATCAAACAAGGTATTTTAACTACTAGTAAAGAAAAATCGCCGAGTTTTATAAACATATATTCAGAAATCATTAAACGAACACACATAATCCACATACTTCATCGTCAAACACAGTCTAATTATTAATGACAAAAAGAAAACACACATACACACAAATAACATATGATTCATTAATGAAATATCTATAACTACTAGAAGCCACTAAACAAATAACACAAGTTTTTGTTAGAAAATAAAATAAAATAATTATGGTGTTATATTAATGGGTGACGGTTTTGCTAAACTAGTATAATATAACACATGATTCAGTGTAAAACTCGTAGTTCTTCTCTTGATTAGAAAAAACATTACATCAAACTAAACTAATAACAAATGGTTTTAGTTGGATTTTCAGATCAGTTAAAATACGTAGAACTAATAAGTTAAGCTTATTAAAAGCTCTCCCGCGCACCTTAGTCTTGACCTATATCCGGTTATTTCATTACTTATCCATTTACAGAATGTTATGTCATTACTTATCCATTTACAGGATGTTATTTCATTACTTATCCATTAGGATTTCAAAATTTTGAAATAGTGCCGTATGGAATTGCTTGGATCATTTTCCTAATTGTTTTAGCTAGCTAGGTTTACTTTGGGATATCTTGATTGATTTTTCAGACTAAAATTGAATCACCTTTCCCCGGGTATAGAGAAGTTCAAGTAGCTAAGGATTATGTATATTTAAATATTTAAGTTTTTTTTTTTCCAACATAGGCCAAACATATATATACTCTTAACAATTTGCAACAACACTTCTCCCGAATAAGATGATGTCATTTTCAATGCATCATACATATCGGCCGTAAATATTATTTGAAAACAAAAAGGTAATTAGCAAAGTTCTAGGCTTTTAGTTTTCGTGGAATTCAACGAATCAAATTTGCAGAAGACGAAAACGACCCTGTCCAATTATTTTGAGATAACTGGCTCCACTTTGATGGATTCAAAAAATAAAATAGAAAACTACTTTCAAATATACGCGGCAAGGAATAGTAACCATGATGAATTTTCAACAAATCACTATTAATAAGTGTTGACATATATATATATACATTTTTTTTAGTTAGTGTTGACGTTGCTTTGTTTATAATTGATTCTTCATGAATTGTTTTACTATATATATATATAGCACATGATTAATCATATATCTAAATTCATTTTAAACTATTTATATCTATAAAATTATTATATAATCAGATTTTCTATCTACTATATGTTAAGTAAATTAGGGGAAATGACCATGAAATTTTATTTATTTAGGCAAATAATTAAGTGACCAAACGATAATTAATTAAAAATTTTCAGAAATCTTACATACAATTGTATGTTATTTTAATTAATAGCGTACTATCATAGTATGACTAACTGCATGATATGTCGATATTTCTCTAAAAAACATTTCAGCACATGTGAAGTTTTATGAATGAAGTTAACTCAGACGTGTGACTTGTTAGATTTGATTAAGCCGCATTTTTTAAGGTTGATGGGAATTAATAGTTCATACTCGTTGATTGACCAGAAAGTTTTACCTACTCGTTGTATATGGTAATGGAGGTTTAGTGGAGTCAGTTGATCTTAGGATTGAATTTGAAGTTTCTTTTTGATGTTTGATTATATATTTCTGTCATTAACATTGGTTTATAAATTCATGAGATCGATGGTAAGACTAGCAGAATTATTTTTCATACTTCAAAGTTCAAAATAATACATTACTCATTTTTTTTTTATAAAAAGGGCTAATACATTACTCATTGAGGTCCAACATTAGAAGAAAAATATATACTGATACAAGTGTTTGATCTTGTTGGAGTCCCATTGATGCTAGTTCATTGATGCAATCATGTAAACATAAAGAAATATTTAACAAAACTAGCTAGCTCGGTCAAAACACATGTATTTTACTCGTAGTCGTCGAATATAACGATATAAACCTAATTGTCTTGCTAGTCAATTGTTTTGGCTTGCTACGTATATTTTCAACATGCCGTTACTTTTTTTTGTCCTTTTTAATCATCTGAGACGTAAATTGATACGGCATTTTTATCCATATATTTTTTCATGAGCGATGAATATATTTTTTTAAATGGTTATGTTAGTTTGATGATTAGATTTACAGAAATATGTAATACCATATATTTTATAATTGAAATTTTTTTATATATAGATTGCTTTTTTAGCCTTTTATATACTTGAACACTTTACTTTTTGTTTTTGGATTAGGAAGAATTCATTTACAGTTAGACTATAGTAATATTCTTAAGACGTCCGTGATTTTTATCCAAAACAAAAAACATTTGTGATTATATAGAAGAAAAAAACATAAACACACATTTTCTTATATGTTCGCTCTGGACTACTCAGAATAGTTATACTGTATGTGTTTACTTTACGAAGGCAACTAACTATAGTTAATCATTATATTATGATTTATTGTGTCCTACAGAAGAAAAGTAAAAGTATATACCACACTGAAATATTTTGTAATTTTCCTACACCAAGCAGAAATTTCTTCTAACGTTAGGTATAAGCTCTCTATAAAAGGCTACCAAAGTATTTCCTTTTAGCATCAACCCACAAATATCCTCAAAGCTTCTTTCCATCTCTCGGTTTTCTTACAAACGGAGAGAGACCAAAAATGGGTCTAAGCAATACTATTCCTTTGCTTTTGCTCTCTTTTGTTATGTTTGGGATTTTGGGTAATGCTCAACTTAGCTCCGATTTTTACTCCATGACGTGCCCTAACGTCACAGTCATCGCTCGGGGTTTGATCGAGCAAGCTAGCCGTAGCGACGTCAGACTCACTGCTAAAGTCATGCGTCTTCACTTTCACGACTGTTTCGTAAACGTAAGATCATTTTCTTTTCATTAGCATATATATAAATCATTAGCACAGATCGTTTTAATGCGCAGATGATCTCATGATCCATGTAGAATCGAAACCAGCAGCACATATTATGGACTTATATGGTTTATACTATGATTAAGTCGCTTGTTTTTGTTCCTTAATTTTGACTTTAATCTGGAATTAATAGTTCCATACACATTGATTGACCAAAGAAAAAACCACTCGTTGTAAAGCATGATGGACAAGAGTTTAGTGGAGTCATTAATTTTTTATGATTAAATTTGAAGTTGCTTTTCGATGTTTAATCATATATTTGACTACATATTCCGTCCATTAACCTTGGTTTTCATACTGAGATAGTAACGGTCTTTCTAAACCCAAATTATAATATGCCTCTTTTATTCGCCTTCTCTAGTCATTGACTACGAAAATTATTGACATAGACTTTAACTAGAAAACATAATTATGTTTATTTTGAAAATGTCGTTAGGTTTCTTGTTAAAAATAAGTTATACATCAAATATTGAAGTCATAGTACTATGTGAAACACAGGGGTGTGATGGTTCGGTACTATTGGACGCTGCTCCTGCGGATGGAGTAGAAGGTGAAAAGGAGGCTTTTCAAAACGCTGGTTCTCTTGACGGATTCGAAGTGATCGATGATATCAAAACCGCACTCGAGAACGTTTGCCCTGGAGTTGTCTCGTGTGCCGATATCCTTGCTATCGCAGCTGAAATCTCCATATCACTGGTATAATATAACATGATTCTTGAAATTTTTGTGTGTCTTTTTTCTAAATCTATGTGAACATTTTAATATAACCATCTTAATATTTATTTCATTTAAGGCGGGAGGACCGTCATGGGACGTATTGTTAGGAAGGAGAGATGGTCGGACAGCGAACCGTGGGGACGCGGTGGCTGCACTTCCACTAGGACCTGACTCTCTCGATATCCTTACTTCTAAATTCTCCGTACACAATCTTGACACTACCGATCTCGTCGCTTTATCTGGTAATATACGCATCTCAATTCTTTGTTTTTTTTTTGTCTAGCCTTCTTGCAAAGTTAGGCTTGCGTATAAAGATCAGGGACTTTCAATTTATATTTACAATATATATCTTAACGAATTATGAATCATAATAAATGTATAGGTGCTCACACCTTCGGGAGGGTTCAGTGTGGAGTGATAAACAATCGTCTGCACAATTTTAGTGGTAACAACGGACAGTCCGATCCGAGTATTGAACCGGAGTTCTTGCAAACGTTGCGACGACAATGCCCGCAAGGCGGAAGTCTCACCGCGAGGGTCAATCTTGATCCTACGAGCCCGGACTCATTTGATAACGACTATTTCAAGAACCTTCAAAACAACCGCGGAGTAATTGAATCGGATCAAATCTTGTTTTCTTCGACGGGAGCGCCTACTGTGTCTTTGGTAAATCGTTTTGCAGAGAACCAAAGTGAGTTCTTTAGAAATTTTGCGAGATCAATGATCAAGATGGGAAATGTAAGGACTCTCACAGGAACCGAAGGAGAGATTCGTAGAGACTGCAGACGGGTCAATTAAAACGTTTCGCATAATTGCATCAGTGATCAAATTTTACTTGTCGTTATACGTGAAATAAGTGGTATTTAATTTGTATTTTTCCACAACTTGTTATTCTTCTTTTGATTTTGTTTATCAAGGCTAAGCATGCCATTTGTTATTTGTAATTGTAAATCATATATGCACACACATATATGAGAAGAGGTTTACGTATTTGTTATATTTTTATTTACAAAACTACTACGCATAACTAAAATCATACTGAAATTTTTTTGAACCCTAGCTATTCCTTCGGCGGATGATAAACCCTTCTACCAATAAACTATTGTTAAATAATAAAATTTATATATAATGTACATACTATTTTTTATTTGACATATCTACGAATCACATTACAATTATATAACAGTAATCAATTTTTTATTATTATATTCCAAAGTCACTACTCGAAATATTTTTTGAGCAATTTCCATAATTACACTGAAATTAAGTTTTCAGGACAAATATAACAGGGAAGCTAAAATTTTTCCACTCCTAACATTTTTCATTTGACTTTTCCGATTTTACCATTTAGGAAAGTCTTCATAAATGTATTTTTTTCTGTTAATGTTTTGTGATTTTTTTTGGGAAGATCTTCCAGATATTAGAATTTAACATCGTTTCATATAGTTTAGGAAAGCTTTCTTAATTTTTTTTAAAAAAATTCTAAATTGTGAGCTTCCTGAATCGTGGAAAGGTTTACTGAATTGTGAAAAGGCTTCTTGGATTTGAATTGAATAAATTAACAAAAATAATAATCAATTATATGATTTACGAAGGCATTCTTAAATATATGTAGGCTTTAACTGGTGATTAATAAAAAAAGGAATAGGAATAAAAAAGAAAAAAATGAAAGGAACAGAAGAAAAGGAATGAATAGGAATGAAAAATATATAAGAAAGTAAATAAATATATTTTGTTCATCCCCAATTTTAATAAGGAATACATTTGTTATATAATTCCTTATATGATAAGGAATAAGAAGGAATGATAGGAAAATATTATTACTAACAAATGGTAAAAAATTTAAGGAATAAATAAGAACTCATTATTCTCTCTCATTCCTTTGGTCACCAGTTGAAGCCGTAATGACTTCCTTAATTTATATATTTTATGAAAGTCTTCCTAAAACCTTAGAATATCTTCCTAAATTTACGATCATCTCCTTCTTCACCTCTGCGAACCCTAATTTCCGCCGATTTTTTTTCCACCATTGTTGTTGTTTTAGCTTGGATTTCTTAAGTTTTTTACCCAATTATATCAGATCTATCTATCATTATATGATTTTGAGCTTTAAATTCTGAAATCACTTTCCCATCAAAAAAATCCCAAAAATTTAAGAGATTCACAATCACAAATTACAATCAAATGAGAAAAGTGATTATAAACAAAACAAATGATTCGATTTCAGATCAGTCTTGGTCATTGATACATTTGTTTGTACATTATTTTTCTTCTCTTTTATTAACTAATGTTTTGTTTAATTAAGATTAATATGGTACAAAATGTTATGGAAGAAATTTTTTAGAGTATTAATGTATATGTGAAACAAAAACTTAGATTAGGTGCATTTGAGGGAATTTCTCATATTTTTTAACAAAAAAATGTAATAATTTCCTAAATGTATAAGTTCTTTGCATTACAGGACTTATTGCTTCCAATGGGTCTCCACTGCCATATCAATCACATGTTTCCATTATAATCTTCTTCTTTTGTCGCCATTATTATCATTTTTTATGTATCCGTTATTTTATTACACCAATAAGGATTCAACTCCCATCTTATATTTCACTAGACCGATTCAACGGCATCGTGGATCCCAATCCACATACGGAATATATCGTTTTTAGACCATGAGTTGTATGACCGATTTAATCAAAGAAAATGTATTTACTATCTTACGTATCTTCCTCGATGGGTGGTGAGTAGGTTATTCCTCCGATTCTTACTTATTTTGTTTTAAGCATTATTGTTGTCTTCTAATGATTTTCCTTTGATAGGTTCTGATGTTAATTCATTGATTGTAAACTTTCAAAAAATAAAAAGAAAAATATGAAATAAACTAGGTCAAAATACATATACATTTTAACTCCTCGATTATTAATTACGATACATGCCTAATTTTATTAAAAGTCAGATTGTTCTGGCTTTGCTATTTCAACATGCCGTTACTGATTTTGTGTGTTTGTTTATAGTCATCTGTATTTATTTTCTTTCATGACGTACATATTATTTTTGACAGCTTTCATGACATTTAAAACCTAAAATTAGGCTATCTGCCAAATAAAGCCATATTTTATACTTGAACAAATGGATTTCGTAGGTCGCAAAACATGTACATTGCTTTTTTAGGATTTTATATTCTTGAACAATTTCTTCTTTTTTTGTATGTTTTTTTAAAAACAAATTAACAGTATAATCTATAGTAGTATACTAAAATAGTCTGTGATTAGAAAGAAATAAAATCACTCACAAATTTCTTATGTTTGCTTTGGGTCTACTCAGCTCAGAATCGTTGTATTTTTTATACCAGGGGCAAAAAACATTCAGTTAGAGTATTACAGACGTGGTAATTGAAATGTTTGTATTAATTTTTTCCTATAACATGTAGAATTTTCTCCTAATTAATGTCTCTATAAAAGGCTACGAAAGTCATTCTTTTAGCATCAACGTATACCCACAATATCCTCTAAGCTTATATACATTCTTTCTATTCCTAGGTTTTACTAACTGAGAGCGACCAAAAATGGGTCTAAGTAATACTATTCCCTCGCTTTTACTGTCGATTTTGATGTTTGGAGCCTTGGGTATTGCTCAACTTAGCTCTGATTTTTACTCCAACACGTGCCCTAACGTCACAATCATCGCTCGGAGTCTAATCGAGCAAGCTAGCCGTAGCGACGTCAGACTCACTGCTCAATTCACGCGACTTCACTTTCACGACTGTTTCGTGAACGTAAGATCTATTACCAAACTTTGTGAAAATATGAACAACATCTTGCTAAAACTAGAGTTTCGTTGAGCCATTTTTTCAAAGATCAAATTACAAGTTAGATGTTTGATTATACATTCGACTATATATTCCGTCACTAACCTAGGTTTCATATTGAGATAGTAACGGTCTTTTAAAACCAAAGTTAAAAATATGCCTCTTTTGTTCTTCTTAATTCATTAACTAAAAAAAAGGATAAAACATTGACCTAAAAGTGTGTGAACACAGGGGTGCGATGGTTCGGTACTGTTGGACGCTGCTCCTGCGAATGGAGTAGAAGGTGAAAAGAAGGCTTTTCAAAACGATAATTCTCTTGATGGATTCGAAGTGATCGACGATATTAAAACTGCACTCGAAAACGTTTGCCCTGGAGTTGTCTCTTGCGCCGATATCCTCTCTATCGCAGCTGAAATCTCTGTCTCACTGGTAGTAAAAATTAGTTTCCAAAATTTATGTGTTTGTTCTGTATTTATGAAAATATATAACTATCTTAATATTTATTAGCACACGACTCTCTCGATACCCTTATTTCTAAATTCTCCGTACATGATCTTGACACTAAAGATCTCGTCGCTTTGTCTGGTAATGTATTTTCGCATCTAAATCAATTTCTTTATTTTGTTCGTTTTAATAAATTCTGTCATTGATCATCTTGCATAAGTATATAAACTTTATACTTGGGACTGCAATATATATACTACTTTGTTACAACATTTCTAAAAAGAATTTACGAATCATAATAAATTATGAACAGGTGCTCACACCTTTGGGAGGGTTCAGTGTGGAGTGATAGCCAATCGTCTGCACAATTTTAGTGGGAACAACGAACAGTCGGACCCGAGCATTGAACCCGAGTTCTTGCAAACGTTGCGACGAAAATGCCCGCAAGGCGGAAGCCTCACCGCTAGGGTTAATCTTGATCCTACGAGCCCGGACTCATTTGATAACGACTATTTCAAGAACCTTCAAAACAATCGTGGAGTAATTGAATCGGATCAAATCTTGTTCACTTCGGCAGGAACACCTACTGTGTCTTTGGTGAATGGTTATGCAAAGAGCCAACGTAGGTTCTTTAGAGCTTTTGCTAAATCAATGATCAAGATGGGAAATGTAAGGACTCTCACAAGATCTGAAGGAGAGGTTCGTAGAGACTGCAGACGGGTCAACTAATGCGTTTTGTATAATTGCATGTTCAATGTGATCAAATTTTACTTGTTTATATGCATGAATAAGTGTAACCACGTTGTGCTTTAATTTTCCACAACTATTTTTCTTCAATTAATGTTTTGCTTTACTATCAATGCCAAGCTTTCCATTTGTAACTCTATATCATACATATATATATAAACACCGATGATAATTCAACTCCCATCTTAAGTAAGTTAAATTATACCCATTCAACGGCATCACGGATCTTAACCCATACGGAAGACTATTTCGTTTCTAAATATGACGCATGAGTCGCATGACCGTTTCAAAACGTATATTTTATTCTTAAAAAAAACTATCTTCCACGATGATTGAGTAGCTATGTCCCCTTTGTTAAAAGGTGAATTTGTATTTCCTATCTGATTTTTTTTGTTGTTGTAAGCAATTATACCCGCTGTCTTCTGATTTTTCTTTGATATGCATTGAGTAACTTGACTCAATAATTCTGCAATTTATATTCCTTTTCAAACCAACACCAACGTTTCTAAAATCAAAAAAAAAAAAAAATCAACGTTTTCAAAACTAGAATTGATACCTCAAAAATGATTCTAACGTTTTCAAAACTAGAATTGATACCACAAAAATGATTCTAACGTAATTTTTTTGGAAATACGCTTCTAAGAAAATTATGATTTCAAAATGATTTTAAAATGAGAAAAATATATATTTAGATGGAATTACATGCAAATGTTCTTGTTTAAAAGAAATTCCATGCAAATATTTGGATAGTTGACTTTTCAACATTGGTAGGTTCTCAGGTGATTATTGATAAGACATAGAAAGAAAACGACAAAAATAATTAAAAATTATACTTAGCTTAGGTGTCGTTTATTGCATCCTCCAAAACTATTAAAATTAGTATTATGGTCAGACACACGAATTAATCACCTAGTTTATATAATTCTCTATCACTAAATTAATTAGGAAGATCGGCTGAAGATCTATTGAAAATTTGACACACATGTAGTGGGGAAATGTTGCTTTCAATCGTGAGTATATATTTCTCATACTCCAGAGCCTACCTCTAACTTTATAAAGGAGTGGTGGGAATGAAAGTAAAATATGTCGGTATCTTTTTTTCTTACAAACAAACTTGAAAACAAAAGATTAAAACTTCGATTGCTTTCAAAATTTCAATAGAGTATTTTTCTATGACTAAAAATTGAACACAGGCTGTATATATCTTCATCGAATTCTAGGGAAATTAGTATTTTCACTACCTCCGGTAGCTTAAACTCTGACGAAAAAGCAATCGCAAAAGTTGTCCCAATTTCTTAACCAAAAAAAAAAAGATGAAAAAATTCGGAATTAAAATATTACATAGACAGTAACAACTTCCACTTGTCAAAAGACGACAAGAAAAACCACTACTACCACAAGTTGTCTAAGTCAATGTACACACATTAGGCACCATATTTGTGTTATATTGCACAGTATTAGTTTAGACTTTTAGCTCATCCATTAATCCACCAAACTTTTCTATTACATCAAAACAAAAACAAAATCTCCATATCAGGAAAATTACGAATACAAGTAGAAGACATACACATACACACACGCACAGGCAACTTCATATACATATAGACTATATGAAAGTTCACATGACAGACTAAATCTTCATCTTAAGAAAAATACATACTACATAGCTATTATTACCGTAACATATTCAGATACTTTATAATTTTACATGGCTGTTACATATCTAGCTAGAGAATAACTAAAGATATAAGTTTCAAGGAAAAAATAAGCTGATCTATCTACTTAGCCCCAAAGGGGAACCACCTCTCCTGGAAATCTGACTGGTACGAGACCATGAGCAAGATGACCACGAGCACGGCTGCTACGCCCCAAGGGGAAGAACCGGCACGGTGGATGGAGTCCTGCTCCGGCCAGGGGACGTAGAAGGAGAGACCGCCGGAGAAGAAGTGGACTAGGAGGAGGAGGAAGAGAGGGGAGAGCATGAAAACGAGCTTGAGCTGATTCATGGTGTCTTCGAGGATGGACTCGTAGTTCAAGTACCATGTGAGGGACAAGACGAAGAAGACGACGATGAAGAAGAAGCATAGATGTGGGTTTGGGAGAGAGAGGTAATCTAAGTACGATGAGCCGTAGTATGGTGATCTCGCCATGCCTTCTTCTTGATCTTCTCTGGTTTTTGATAAAGGTCTAGATATTAAAAATGTAAAGGGGAATCTAGATGTCTCTGTATGAGTGAGTGTGTGTATATAAAGAAGTAGATTATCTTTGGAGAGAAGAAAAGAGTTACTGTATTTGCTTTAAATGGGTGTTTTCTTTTAGCTTATTAAATTAAAATATTTCAGGGCTTTTCGGGTTTTGAAGTGGTCGGTCGAGACCACGTGGATATGGTCCTATGGTTCTGTATTTTTTCATTTCTTTTGTGTGGTCTCTATGGTTCTGTATTTAAAACTTCTAGTTATTGCTTTTAAATTTAAAAACAAATAAAAAGCTAAACTAAAGGGGATGTCTCGTCATTATTCATATATTTAAAAGTATTTTTTTTTATGAAAAATAGAAGGTGGTCACAAAATGCTCTGTGCTCTAAACCTTACATGGATCGTTATTCGTAAGCACTTCGATCGGAGAGGAATGGTCTGGAATTTCAAATAATTCAGTATTTTAAAGGGTCTACACATGGTCTCCCAATATTTTTGAGAATCCTGCTATATATTTGACGGGGTGGGTTTAATCCAGTGATCTGTTTGTGTAAGACTATTTAATATCTTGAAATATAATTTAGTTTTACCATGTATTCTGAAAGTAAATATGTATGCTATTTCAGTATTTTAAGTAGCGGGACCATTTTTTATTCTTTTTAACTGCAAACTCGATTAGTTTATTAGTCTGAACTCTGAACTTTCTAATAATGATTGTAGTAGATAATTCATTAATTTGAACTTGCGGTTTAAAAAAATACCGAATACAAAAATGTGGCTTTTCACTTCTGCAAGACTGCATACCAAATCGGTTCATATTTACTATTTACCTTCTTGGTGTTGCGTAGAAAGCCTAATTGGAGCCCAATTGAAATGAAAGCCCAATAGGAAAGGCCATACCTGCTAACGTAAGATCGTTTACCCTATACTTGCAAGTTACTTGAGATCGGTTTTACACAAATATAAAAATCTAATCGTGTCTTCTCACTTGCCTTACACATACATGACTACACACAAAGCATCATCATTCTTGAAGTAAAATCAAGATCTTTGCTCATCAACTTTTCGTAGTCATCTTGTCTTTGAAAAAGAAGTAAATAAAACTGTTATAGTCATCCTCTTCAATTCACTCACCTTCCCAAAGTTTATATTTATAGCCACCCTTCCATAATCTCAACCTTCAAAGCTTTAAACATGGGAACATTGGTGGGTCACATCGTACCGGGTTTTTTCTTCTTTGCACTTGGTCTATGGCACCTTTTTAACCACATCAAACTATTTTCTCTACACCCAAAATCATACATATCATGTATATGGTTTCCCATTTCCAAACCAAGATATTTAGAGCCTCTCTTGATCATTATAGGCTCCTCACTTTCCATTTCTGTGGAACTCTTCCTTGGCCAAAAGAATCACCAACCATTTGATCCCAATGACGGAACCATCCCATCAAACCATCTCCATAACTTTGAACACTCTTGCATCTCCTTCACCTTCATCACCTATGCAGCTTTTGCCATCATCTTTGACAAAACGAGACCAATGGCTCATAGAGAACTCATCAACTTGATCGCTGCCCTCGCCTTCGCCCAACAACTCTTTCTCTTTCATTTCCACTCGTCCGACCACACGGGCGTTGAGGGCCATTACCATTTGTTGCTACAACTCGTAGTTTTTGTCTCTTTGGTGACAACACTCTTGGGGATCGCCTTACCAAGTAGCTTCTTGGTGAGTTTTGTTCGGTCACTTAGTGTTTCCTTCCAAGGAATATGGCTTATGTCAATGGCTTGCATGCTTTGGACGCCAAGTTTGGTTCCCAAGGATTGTTTTCTTCACATTGAAGAGGGTAAACATACAATTAGATGCTCAAGCGTCAAAGCTCTTCATAGAGCAATATCATTGGTTAATATCCAATTCAGCTGGTTTCTGGTGGGTGTGACCATCTTTGCAATGTGGTTTTATATTTTTTTGCAAAGGATCTACGGTGAAAATATTGAATATTCAGAGCTTCGAACAAAAGAATCCAAAGACAGCGATATCATGATGACCATGGTTGAAGTTCATGATGCTGAGTCACAGAATGGAGTTAAGTCATTAACTTGAGACGATGGCCGCGGAAAATTACCAACTTCTCATGATGTAGTAGTGTGTTTAAAGTCAAAACATGTTTTCGTATACCAATTCAGAGAGCTTAATCATAGTGTGTTGTATATATATGAACTTCCGTAATCTAATATATACAGTTGCAGAACATCTTATTTCATTTTTCAATAAAAGACTGTAAAAACAAAACTAATTTAAAACAAGAAAAGTAAAATTTTGCAAAGGAGCCAAACTAAACCGATTCTCAAATTAGTTGCTTTCTTTTTTTATCCTTTTTATTTTCAGGTTTTTTTTAGTTATTAAGAATTTAAGATGCAAGAAAATATCATTTTGTTTTGTTTTATGTAATGGGTTTGGGAGATTCTTTGGTGACTAAAGACAAAAATAAATCATGTTTTGACTTGAAACACTTCTTCTATTGCCCAAAACTAAATTATTTTTTGTAGGATTATTCCAAGTTTTGCATAGAAATTTGAAAAAAAAGAAAAAGCAAACAAAATAAAATCCATAAAACATCTTAAAAGAAATATGAATATCTTATCCACAAAGACAAGAAAAGAAAACAGTAATCATATCACCAAAAGTAACCGTCGTGGTCCCAAATCCTCGGCATTGTCGTCTGCGCTAAAGCAATTACGAAAGTAGCGAAGTTATCATCTCAGCTTGGGGAGGACGAGGCACCGATTCCATCCACCGTGGGAGCATGAATGGGAAGAACCAGATTGAAACTGTAAAGGGCTCCCAATATTGTGATGATCTTGGATCCCATAATTCATCCACCAATGGGTCACAAGCAGACTGGTAAATGAAACAATCTTGATGACCATCACTACATGCATCCCCGAGAGGATCGTACACTTGTGTGTCCGCAAGTTACATGATGCCAAATTATGATCCTTGTTGTGATCCGAATGGTTCGGTAATTGCACAACCCGAAACTGATCGGACTCGGAGTAGAAATCATAAGATGCGACTACTCCAGATACACTCAGACAGCTGAAGTAAATCGTACCGTTCAAAGTGATGTAAAACATGTTGGTGATTTGATGAGGACAGTGAATGATGCCCTGTCTCAGAGGAATACAGGAACACACTCAAGCTGGTAGCCGAGAGATAATCACTCGACGTTTTGAGTGAAGCTAACTTAATCACTTTGAAGCTCAAGACGACGCCATCTTCGTCCACGCGAGTCACAAACCCAAACAAAGTATTTTGAACCAATCTTGTAAGTGGAGGGATTTTGACCCACTCTTGTAAAACTGGGTTTCCCACATAGCAAGATGCTTTTATCAGAGCCGTCTTTAATCAGAACCAGTCCACTGGAAGAAGCCTCATATGTGAAATCACCCAAACGGTATCGATTATATGAAGGTGGGAGGAAAGAAGCTGGAGACTTTGGAAGGTCCCATGTCTCGCATCCATGGAACCCTATGAGCTCTTTTGCTCCGGAAAACAGCGACCACGAGGTAGAGGAGTTTCGGTGCACAGACACAAAGAGACGGCGGAAATACGCAGATTCGAGTGTTGATTTCCATGATTTGCACACCGATTTGAATCTTGCGACGCTCCTCAACGGTAATCTCGCTAGAATCTCCGTCAAAATCTCCTCTAAAGGATGTGTTTGTGTGTTTCCATTGCCACCGGAAATGGCCCTCTCGCCGCGAAACGATTAGGGCTTCCGGTTTTAATTAGTGAGTGAATCAGTGATGTTTTTGTTTTGTTTTTTTGCGCTAAACTTTTTGCATTAACTAAAAGGAGGCAAGAAAGCCCAATTGTTTTACACAATATAGCCCATTCTAGCTAGACAAGCCCATAAACTTGCTATGAATAACAACTGAATGCGAAAATAGGATGAATAATGATAATATGTAGCCCATCCTATTTTCGATATTTATTTCTAAGTTCTAATTAGAAAGTAATCCATTATATTTTTTTTTAAGCTTTCGAATATGTTTCATACTTTCATTAGTTGTTACCACATTTAAAATTGAAGTAAGAAATGCAACACGTAGTGTAAAACTTTTTTCATGCAATATATAAAATCGGTTAACAATTATATAGAGAAATGAAAAAAGTTCGCACAATATTCTTCTTAATTGGACATTCAAACATTTTACGTTCGATTAGGAATTAGGTGACTTGAGTGAGTTGAATTATTGTTGGATTTTACCATGAGAGAACTCTTCTCCCGGCAATTGCGTCTACAACAATTCTCTACTTTCGAGAAAAAAAAATATATTAGAAAGAAAAAAAGAGCCAAATTAAACCAAATACACCGATCAACGGAGAATCCAACATTCTTCAGAAATCCGAAGTCTCCGTCTCTATCCTCCAACAAAGCATGGCCCTCCATCATCGCTTCTCTTTCTCAATCCTCTTCTCTCTCACCCTCCTTACTACGACGACCCTTTCCCTCTTCGAACCCGACCCGGATTCGATTTCCACCGTTTACGACATCCTCCCCAAGTACGGCCTCCCAAGCGGCCTCTTGCCGGACTCCGTCACCAATTTCACCCTCTCCGACGACGGCCGATTCGTCGTTCACCTGGCCAAGCCATGCACCATTGAATTTGACTACCTCGTTTACTACGACGAGACCATATCGGGCCGAATCGGCTACGGCTCGATCACCGAGCTCAAGGGTATTCAGGTGAAGCGGGTCTTTATTTGGTTCGATGTCGATGAGATCAAGGTCGATCTCCCTCCCTCCGATTCCATCTACTTCAAGGTCGGGTTTATCAACAAGAAGCTCGATATTGACCAGTTCAAGACTGTACATTCATGCGGCGACAATGGTGTCTCTGGCTCTTGTGGAGATTCATGGAAGAGTTTTCTCCAGGTACTTGGTTTCTTATTTGTGTTTCTGGGTTTTTACCTCAAAGTTGCGATTTTTCTTTTTGGAATTGGAAGTTCTGATTCGATGAATACCCTTTTTCTGTTTGACTTGGGTGATCGAGATTCTTATTGGAAATTCGTGACTTTTTGGTACTAACGAATCAATTGACGCATGGGTTTCTACAATTTAGATGGCAGCTCAAATTAGCTTCTGTAATGTTTGGCTAGTACGAGTGAAATTTTCTTTCCTGGCTGAGATACTGATAGATTCTGGAATCTTTGAGTTTCTGGGTTCAAGTTTTCAGCTGGTTTTGTGGATCTTAACTTGAACCTATTGAACCATTTATATAAAAGAGTTGTTGGATTGTACTATTGTAGATAGATTGTTTCCTCCTAACTTTAGGCTTGGGATTGTAAATGTCCAACATGTAAGCTTTCTTAGAATTCAACCACAAAGGCCAAAAGCAAAGTCCTTGGAGAATCAGATTAAACTTGAGAATGGGTTTGAAAATTAGCTAACTTTTAAAAGATTTGACATAAGAAACATATATCTAAACTCTCAAATTTCTGTTTTTCCAATACATCTTTGACACTGAAAGTAGCAGTTGTTTTTCCTCTGTTTGGTTCTCTTTTGTTCTTTGCGTTCGTGTTGGTAGCTTAATTGGGTAGCTGATAAACTTGAAATGCAGTTTGTTTAAATGATATTTACAAGCATTGAACAAATGTTTTGACTATCTTTTATGGTTTTATTGCCTTAGATAGATCCTTCAAACGAGTCAACTCCCAAAAGTGATTCAGGCTGGATTGAAGGAAATGCACTAACATAAGTTTTTGTTTGTTTCTCAGCTTCAAGGAATAATGGATGAACAGGAGATGCTAATCACCGAGTAAATACTCTTCAACAATCACCGAGTCTGCTACAACACAACGATGGAGTTGAATGTCAGTCAAGTTTGTACAAATACGCACAACACTCCCTAGACAAGTCTTAATAAGATTTAGTATGAAGTGTCGAATATGTCCACTATGTAAGTCTTGTTAAAACTAGATTCCACAAAAAAACGGTGTATCTATACATGACTAAATGTTCCCGAGTTCTTTCCACAATGGCCGTTCAAGCTCCATTCTTTTAGTAGTTGTATCATGCAGGGCCTAACGAGTGAATGATCCGTTCTATGAACCGATAGATTATTGCTTATAGAATCATTAGACAGTGATAATATTAAGAAACTGATCTGCTTGGACTCTTCACAGACCATACAAAGAAAACATTTTTTCCTGCAAATTTTAAGTTACAGAGAGGACAAATATATAAAAATTCAAACTTTCGCTTACGGAGTTGTCCACGTAAACCGGAAAGCCCACCCGGTGGTTTTCTTGTTTGTCTTTGCCTTTGCTTGCTTTTTAGGAAAATAAAATAAAAATATCAGCCTTGCTCTGATTTTGACTGGCTAGTATTCAACGGCCATTTTCCATCTTACAGACCTAACTCGTGTTCTCTGTTTTGTGTTACAAAACCGTTTTCATCTTTTATTCTTTTTTTGCTCTGATTCTTACCATCGATCCACCAACTGTTTGTTGATTTTCTGGAATTGTTCTCCCCAATCATTGGGGAAAAATAAAAGTCTTGATCTTGTTGCTTGGAGTTATGGTGGGTGCTTTGTTTGTTGTTGGCTCATCGGTGATGGATTCGCCGACCAGTCCATGTTTATGCCTGGATGCTCACACGAGGAGCTCTCCGAGCAGGAAGAAGATCCTTGGGAGTGCAAGAAAGCTGGAATTAGGAAGCTCTTTTACTGGTTCAAGCATTGTTTTTAGGCTTTCTTCGAAGCGTGTACCACGAATTGCGAATCGAAGGAGCAAAAAAAGGCTCTTGATTGTCAATGAGGACGTTGCTGGGAATTACGATGATACCTTCGGGGATGTCACAACGGTGAGGAAAACTTTTTAATGAAATTGTTTTGTGAGAGGACGTTTTGGCATGACAAAGCTTATGGCTCTCTCTCTCTCACTTTTCAATTTTGCAGCAACTTGTTAATTACTTCACATACAAAGCTGTGAGGACGGTTCTTGTTCAGCTCTACGAAATGAATCCTCCCCAATACACTTGGTTCTATAAGTAAGTCTCTTTTATGATATGATTTATCAAAATCTCTTATTTGATAAAGTTCTGTATTAGGATTAGATCAACAAAAACACCTAAGTCGATAATTCTTGGTCTTATGTTTCTCCATTGTTTTACAACAGCCACATCATATCAAACAGACCAACCGATGGCAAACGTTTCCTCCGCATCCTGGGCAAGGTAATAAGAGTTTAGTTTACATCTCACCAGAACCAGTTAAGACCCATTGGGTCTAGTTGAGGAAGTTACGCTAGTCAAACTTTAGCTTTACTATAACTAGCCTAGGACTGAATATAACAGATTGTAGCTGTGGTGAGTTGGTTAGAGAGCAGTGTGAGTGAGGACTGGATTTTATGAGGTCGCTTAACAGATTGTTGAAGGATGAATTGGAATAAGAATAGTCTGTGCTGTGTTCTTATCATAATCACAGTCTGTGCTGTGATGTACTTTTATGTTTGGTTCAGCCTTGTTTAGAGCTTGGTATGAAAGATATCAACACGGCGAGAGAAAGAAGAGTACTTTTTGTGTGTTTTAACTGAGAGCAATAATAAACACAGACATTGAATCTTCTGCTTTTTTTTTTTTGTCTAAACTACTTGTAGGAGAGTCAGGAGCTTGCAGAAAGAGTGATGATCACGCGTCTCCACTTGTATGGCAAGTGGATCAAGGTAAAAGGACCGTTTCAAGTTATGATTTTCACTTCCCTGCCATATCAGAAAAGACTCAGAAAAGTAATGTTGTATAGTTTGTTGTGGGAACCTTTGTAGAAATGCGACCATGGAAAGATATACCAAGATATATCGGATGAGAACTTGGCGTTGATGCGTGAACGCCTGATGGAGACCGTGATATGGCCTTCTGATGACTCTAACTCAGAGGTCATTGGCTGAGGAAAGGATGTCACATTCTCAGTTTTAGGACTTGAGTTTCTTTTAGTTTGGTTAAGTATGATATAGTCATTGAACAGTGTGTTGTATATGTGTACTGCTTATCATATCTGGGGAAAAAAACTATACCCTTCTTGTGCTCAGTCTTCTCTTAAGCTCACATTAACACTAATATGCAAATATTAATTAACAAACAAAAAGAACAGATAAATATAAGAGGCTAAAAGCACTGGACATGAACATGACTTAAAAGGAAAAATGCGGTTGGTCCTAATCAGAACACTTGGCCTCCTAACAACTCCAAAACCGTTTGAGCAAAGATATTGTCCTCTTTCATTCAGCGCGAAACTAGTCATGGCGAACATTAGCATTTTTGCAGCTCCACCACTCACCAACTTGGAAGTACCATCGCTGCTCTTCCGTAGAAGAATCTGTGTCAAGAACACTTCGATTCTCAGTTTCGCGGAAACCCATTTTCTCCGACAGTCGATTTCGACACGCATCGTACGGTCTCCGATTGGGTCCGTCTCATGCTCATCGGTCACGGACGAGGCTTCTACTTTCAGAGATCGACCGCTAGGAGAAAATGGTTGTTCTGAAGAGCTAAAAGTTCGAACCTTGTAAATCACCTTCCTGATTCTTCTTCTGTAATCTATGTATATAATTAGACTTATCTTTCTGGGTATCTGATTAAATCCGCATAGAGTGACGAAAGTGTGGTTTTTTTTGTTTTTTTTGTTTCTTTCTGTTGGTGTTTGCAGGACATGGAAGTGGAAAGGTTACTCGATAAGGTATCAGTGTGCTGGAATTAGTGGCCCTGCTTTGGTCTTGGTTCATGGCTTCGGTGCTAACAGGTCAAATCTCATTGCCATTTAATTTTCTAATAGGTATCAATTAACATTTACCAAAATCTCTCATAATGTCTTAAAGCATGCTCCTTATTGAGGTTTTTGAATTGTTTGATCATGGAATTTGAGAACCATAGTAACATTTTACTCACATCAGTGACCATTGGAGGAAGAACACACCTATTCTTGGGAAATCACATAGAGTGTACTCAATCGACCTTATCGGATATGGATACTCCGATAAACCGAATCCTAATGAGTTTGGAGGAGAACCCTTCTACACATTTGAGACATGGGGTGAGCAACTCAATGACTTCTGTCTGGATGTGGTGAAAGATGAAGCCTTTTTTATATGCAACTCTATCGGAGGTTAGCTATCAAGTTCCAAAGGCTTTCGGGTTTAAGTTTCTTTTTTGGCCCTTGGTTCAGTTAATAACAGAGAAATTGTTGTCTCATTATAGGACTTGTTGGTCTTCAGGCAGCAGTAAGTAAACCAGAGATGTGTAGAGGGCTTATGCTTATAAACATATCTCTCCGGATGCTTCATATCAAGAAACAACCATTGATTGGAAGACCTTTCATCAGATCATTCCAGAATTTACTTAGGTATTTTACTCTTGCTTCGCCTGTGCCTTTAGTTACTTTTTTTTATCTAAGATCCTCTATGGTGTTGCAGCTGAATCTTATCATGTTGGTCTCAGGAATACTCCAGTTGGAAAACTTTTTTTCAAGAGCATTGCTAAACCAGAGGCAATAAGAAGCATTCTTCGTCAGGTAATGATACTTCTGGTTATAAGTTGCATGATTATGATAAATTTTGTAGTGAGCTTAAGGATAACTTTGTTTGTTTGTTTTTGTGTGAATTTGGCAATTAGTGTTACCATGATAGCTCGCAAGTGACGGATGAACTAGTTGAGGCAATTCTACGGCCAGGGCTTGAGCCTGGTGCGGTTGATGTCTTCCTTGAATTCATCTGTTACTCTGGTGGACCGCTTCCAGAGGATTTACTCCCACAGGTCAAGGTTTATTTCTCTGGTCCTCCTCCTAAGCCATAGTTAAAACTGAAAAGCTAAACCTTAGTCTTAAGTTCACCATGGCCATGTCTTTAACGGTTTCAGTGCCCGGTTCTGATTGCATGGGGAGAGAAAGATCCATGGGAGCCAATCGAGCTTGGACGAGCGTATGGCGATTTTGATGCAGTTGAAGAGTTCGTTGTTCTTCCTGATGCCGGCCACTGTCCTCAGGTCTCTCTCTCCACACCTCCCTCACAAGATTGAAATACAACAAGTAACCTTTTTTCTTCTTATTATGATTATGTTTCTGTAAACTTTGCAGGACGAGAAGCCGGAGATGGTGAACCCACTTATCGAATCATTCGTTGCGAGACATTCAAATTCCAATACAGCCGTTGCTGCAGACATTTGATCTCAGCTTCTAGATTTTTGTGTATCTGTACAGAAACATATCTTGTGAACCCGCACAAACACTCAAGAGTTGTGCATGAACGAACTTTATCACATGTGAGATATCTCAATCTGACAAAACTGTGATTGTATGCATAGAGAGATATCTGATGGAGTATATAGCTGTTTTCAATATATTGGAATAAACAGAAAAAGTTTCAATAACAGCAGTCTCTTACTTTCCCTCTCACCAAAATTGCAAAATTCACTAAACTCAACAACTAATGAAACCATGTTAAACTCTACTAAAGTCGTCGCTATGCGTTAATAACTTCAGGACCGGATGTGTCGGGTCATACAACATACCGGTATGTGACATAACGATCGGCTGTTTCACTCTGGCGTATGATCTTCACGACTTCTCCACGTCTTAGCCCATAGTACTTGGCGACTGGGTCTGTAACCCGGATACGTGGAAGCTATTGCCAATTCCACCACACGTGAGAGACAAACATGTTTGTTAACTAGAGGAGAAAAACAACCCAACAAAAGATCTGACAATAAACTTTGTTTCATTGCTCAAAAGAGCGTGACAAGATACTAACCTGATTCTCTTTCACAGTGTACTTCTCCAACAAAGCTTTCTTCTCCTCAGTTGTTAGAGCTCTATGATCAGGAACAAAGACGTGATCTTTTACGTTCATTAGAAGCTCTGTCTCCTGCACAAGAGCATGAGTTTTCAGAGTATGTTTTGGGAGACCAACAAGCCAAAAACACAAGAAGCAGCAACAACAACAAAAAAAAGCAGTACTTATTACATTCGGATTCAGAAAGCGGGAATACTTCATTACCATAAAAATTTCCAAGTGAAGTTTTGGTGTCTGGCTTATCAAGTCAAGAACGTAGCGTGTCGACTCCTTCACAACGAAAATTGCTCTGAAGACTTTCTCAGATTGCATGCGCTTAATGTAAGGCCTAACTTCGTTGACTTTAGGCTTTGGTTCTTTCAGAAAGATGACAACGAGCTACCACAAGGAAAAAGTAGAGCATTAGAAAGAATGAAACATACACAAAAATTTCATTGTAAAAGTGTTTATTTAGTAAATGGAGAGAAAGTGGCGGGCCCAAACTCAAAAAAGTTACTACAATGTGTACCAAAAGGCATATCTGAATAAGCTCCAGAATCATGTACCATTAGAACAATAGTGAGATCTCTGCTTTAAAAACAGCTCCAGAGTCAAACAGTAGAAGCAAAGAACAGTTTCACAAATGTTTTTTGTAAATTCGAAAAACTATATTGAAATTGAACAAACCTTAACAGATTCATCGTTCCTCTTAATCTTGAGAGTAACACGATCCTCTCTTGTCATGTTCTCGCCATATTTCTCGACAAACTCTTCTTCAGTCATCTCAATTTCAGAGTCCGTGACTATATAACCACGGTCTTTAAGCATCTGGTTCAATGTCTTGTGGACTCTGAAAAGTTTCCTGATTTCTTCTTCAGGTAGAGACATTTTTTTTCACGGATAAATCTGTACATATTACACACATATATCAACCATCAAACGCCAAGATTTATGCTTCCGAGTGATAATCAAAAAGTATACAATGGAGTACGACAAAAGCAGAAGCTTAGACCGACACAAATCTCAAAACAATAAACAAGCCACTACAAAGATTCCAATGCCAAGATTCTTCTGCGAATATAAACAGTTCCTTGTGAAGAAAACATCAGAAGTTAAACTGCGCAAAACCTAGAATCAACCTAAAACATATAAGAAGTGGACACATTAATGCAGAACACATATCTCTTTCTTAGTTCGAATCATCACACAACAGATTAACGTCTAATCCGTTGCAATCAATGAAGAAAAGAATAATGCAAGTAAGAAACTGCAGGAGACGAGGAAACAATACACAAAAATTTCACGTACCAGAAAGAACTTAATTAGAGACCGAGCAATAATGATTCAAGTTTGACTTCCGAAGGGTTTTTGGTTTATCCGCTCGACGGCTAGAGAGGTCGGTCGGTAGGTAGCAAAGAAGTAGAGCCCAAGCTACCCCTTTAACTTATATTTATTTCTTTTAAAGAAAATTTCCATTTAATCATGGTTTTAAACTTATACTCGATATTGTAAATTAATGAATTTAATAAATAAATAATTTTCTAGGTCACCATATCGATTCAAATCTGCTCTGCATATTTCTAGCTCACTTTCATTTTTTTCCCTCATCTTTTACATTGGGTTTCAATTTTACCTTATTAGTAAATCTTTAAAAGTAACAGGTTACTTGCAATATGTAAACTCTCTTTTTCTGCATTTAAATTGCTTCAGTTAGTAGTAAATGTCACGTTTCTCTTTTAGCATAAGCTTAAGAATGAACAGGAAGGTGACTCTTTTAGGTCAAGTGAACGTGTTTGTAGATCATCAACCTCACTCAGCTAATGGAGTCTCCTTCTCCACAGAATTCGAAGACTGACACAAAAACTGGGAATACTATACGATAAACCACACTCCCGAGACAATGCTTCATGTGTTTGTTGTTGTTGGTGAAGTAATGTTGACCCCCAGATACTTGTTTAGTACATTCTTAAAAGCCTGTACAACAACAAAAATATAAAATTTTATGCCCATGTGAATCTTCCAAAGACTCTTGATGACGATTAGTCTTTTCTGCATAAACTAGTCAATTACAGTAACCCGAATTATGAATCACAAAATGGGTGGAGTTCATGACAATGTGGATTCCTGTAACAGGTTTCATGGAAACATCAGCCTGATGCCAAAACATTTATTTCCTTCCATCTTACGTCATGTAACCAGGTTCAAGCAAACATCAGTATGATGCCAAACAGCTCTCTCCTTTGAATTTACGTTGGTTCACACTCAAAGTTATGCTACAGATACAGAACATACCTGAAATGCAAAAGCCTCTTTCCTACTTAAGATTATATCCATCGCAGCTGATTCATCATCGAAGGCACCATAAAATTCCCGATAGAATTGATTCCTAAGAATTGGGAAAGGAAAAAAGGAAGAACAAATAACAAGTTACTCTCCAGTTTTAAACTAAGGAAATAAAGACAGCAATAATCCTTCAGAACAAACCTATCTTTTTCACTAGTCTGTTGGTCTATCTCATCAAACTTCTGTGTTAGGACTTCCGCAGCAACAGGTGAGAGCATGTGAAGTATTAACGCTTCCAAGGTCCTTGGGAAATAACGCTGAAATGAGTTACATGATATGAGCACGTAAATCCAAAGGATTTCACTGTAATGTAAAACTAAACAAGTTCTCCATTTCGACCAAAATGATGAGGCCGCAGAGTAAAATTGATTTTAGGGTGATCTAACTCCAGCTTCAGTGATACCATGTGAGGATAAAAACACTAGAGTAAAGCATGTAAACTTACTGCCATTGCAAGGAGAACATCCCGAAGTTTAGATGCATCAAGATTCCAAAGCATATGCGCAACGGGATCATCTTCAAAACAAGACAACGGCTTCACGAGAATCTTGCTGCCGCTCTCTGAACTTGGGTCTGAACAACTGGGTGAAGTGTGCTGCAGTCCCCTACTTGTATCAACAGCGTTAACGTGGTCATGGACTAAGGAAATAAGCGCATGAAGTGCCTGGCTAGCAGAAGGACTTAGATCATGCAGCGGCGTTCTTTCAGGCAAGCCTTTCTTAATGCTTTCTTTGCTTGAGTTATCAGTCCCACCTTCTGCAGTCATTCCATCACCGGCAGAGTCAGACAAACATTTGAAGGTTTTCTCAGGATTTTACCCCATCAGAGTCTTATTACCTGCCTGCCCAATGCGAGATTGGTCAATATGCTCAGATGGTTGCTTCAAATCACTTGAAGAAGGCTTCGAAACTAATTGGCTCTGTCAATATCCACGTTACACGAGTAAATAGAGGGTAGTAAACTCGGTAAATGCAAGCACAGGTGAGAAGACGAACCTACATTTTAAACCTTGAAGTCAGGATGAGTAAGAAAAATATCACAACTTCCAACAATCTTTACTGATGAGACAGAATAACTTACACACCATTTCTCTGTCTATCAATCTTATTATATGACACAAGACGCAGGCACATGAAAGCAAAAAAAGGACAGAAATTAGGCAACCAAACAAAAGTGGTAATGCAAAAAGACATTCTTATAAGAATAAGATTTTGTAAAAAAAAAACCTTCTTGTAATTCGGCGCAAATAATATGAATCCATATGTTCAGGCATGTTAGACATAATGTTTGATTGCCACCAAAAGTTGACACCGATAGTCAGCTCATCACTATCCACCTGATGGAACCTGCATAAGTAAGATGATACTTAAATCATCAATCTGTCAACAAACTGTTTTCACAATAAATCTATGAGCCTTAAGTAAATTGTCAAAGCTCTGATACATACAATTATATTACTAGGAACTTTTCCTTACCAAAGAAGTATCACTTTCATTAGCATGATAGTAAGCTAGCTAACCAAGATATGAGAGTATACTCACCAACCTTCAGGAATGAATACTGCATCACCAGCGTTAAGAGTAACCTCCTGTGACTGCTTGAGGGAATGCTCTGCTCTTGGATAATCTGATAAATTCGGATTGTCTAGACCAACCGAACTACATGAACAAGAAATATAAAATGCAATGAAAAAAACTCGTAAATAGACATTGGCATAGAAAAATCATTGATAAGTTTGCAATAGCTGCTAAGGCGCAGGAGCGATACCTATGGTTTGACGCTTCTCCATAAATAGGCATCGGATAGAGCGAGGGACTGGCGGAAGGGGGCCACAAGACAACTGTTGAAATTGATTTAGATGTAAGAAAGCATACAACATACATTTAAATCATTAAATCTGCCATTATTTAGGATGAACCTTAAATTGACTTCAAACGAGCTGACTTAACATTCTACCAAAACCATACGTCTGGGAAGCAATTTCATTAATTGGGCCATCTATTACAATTTGATTTTACTACGACACAGAAAACAACAGAAACAACTTCAAGACAGTTTAACTCGGAGGAAAGCAATGGGTTAACCTTTTTTACACCCTGAGACTACGCATAAAAGGTTATGATGTGGATCATAGTGGGTAGTTGATCGAGCTTGTGCAGAGTTCATCCAAAAGTTGATAGAAGACAGTGACTTTGACCCTAGAAGTGTGGGCTGCATCCATTCAGATAGTTGATGTTAAGAAAATTCATGTAAGCAGCTCCGGTACAAAAAAAAAAGAGTTGAAACAAGTATCCATATACCGTCTGAATGTCTTGTCTCAGAATCCTGAGTTGAACCTTCTCTTCTTTCTCATCATTCATAATTGGAAACTGGAAAAGAAAATACAAATCTAAAACTAAATAAACTTGATTTTCCGAAATGATAATAGATCATCGCAAGATATTCATACACCAGAGCATAAAGATGAAAACTGAATAATCATCTGAACCTGTGCTAGGTATATTTGTCCTGGCATATGGTCATCAGGCATGGGAGTTAAATTTGCAGATTTAGCATCAACAACGGAACCATTTCCTTTGGATTTCATATGCTGCTTGCAGACTCCGATAAAATCCGAGAACGGCAATGATACCTACAAGACCAAATAAAAAAAAATATGTAGTGTAAAAGCAGAACCAGAAACCATTAGAGCTTAAATCTCAAGAAGTGAGAAAATGGAGTTATACCCTTTCATGGCTTCTGATATCACCATTGAAAATCGGAGCTGTCCTCGAAAGCATTGCCTCCACTTCAACTGAACCTGCACGTTCCTTCATATAATCCAATCGACGCATAAGATCGTTTGCTGCATACAATCTTTCGATTTTAAAGAGAAAGGTAACAAAATCCGGATCAAGTGAGAGGTAAGCAAGCACCTCCAGATAATCGAGGCCATTGTTGAATGGATTCCACTTAGAAGAGGCAGCCCAGTCAGTAGCACACCCTCGGAAAACCTTGAGAAGAAAGACGATAATCAGATGATGCATCAGAAAAGCAGATTCAGCAGGAGCAATAAAGAAAGCGAGAGAGGGATTCAGGTGAAACTACTGCAGGGAAGTTGGTGAGCTCAACGCCAGACTCAAAGTCGACGGCAGAAAGAACACTCTCGAAGGTTTGAATCATCGCAAATTCGCTTCCCGTCGGCGGTGGAGATTCGTCGAAACTCAATAAGTATCACCGTGCACAAGTGCTATGCTTTTTCTATTATCAAAGAGCTTTTTGCTTCTCTCGCAAACGTTTACAGACTATTAACGGTGTTTGTGTTTGGAGTGGCTCGCCGGTTGCGGACGGCGACTGAAATTGTTTTCTGGTTTAATTTGCAATCTAACCATATTACTAAAAGAATCCAAAAATATGGAAAGTAACTATGATCCATAGAAAAAAGACTAAAAAATCCTTCTGTTAAAACGTATTGATTGATCAATCATTAGGCTAAAAAAAAAATAGTATAGTAGTGTATTACAAATATTACTTAATAACATACTACATCAACTGAGTATAGTATAGTAGTGTACTCCATTTAAAATAATGTGACCAGTTTACTTTTCGGGTATCTATAGATGTGGAATTTGCGTTGGAAGATGTCTTATATGAAGGTAAATTCATGAGACGATAATATTAGTAATGATGAGGAGCTAGTAGATACTCATATAATATGGAGTCAATTCTCATAATGATAGTATAGTACAGTATAAAATAATATATTTGTACAACTATTAATAGTATACTACACTAACTCAGTATAATATAGTAATGCAATTTATTTGTTGATTTAAACGAAAGAATTTTTGGTATATATTATAGAATATATGAAGAATATAATAATACCTATTTTGGTATGGTTACTTTCTAAATTTTAAGTATTTATATGGTTATATTAACCAATTTCCATTGTTTTCTTACAAATTATATTTTCACATTAAATTAAAAAATTTGACGTAAATTTTTTTTTTTGTTCGAGAATCAAATTCAATTATTTTCAATATCAAACTTCTATTATACAGACTAGGAAAAGGGACCCCGCTTCGCGGAGTTAATTTGCAATATATTAAAAACTTAGTTAAAATTTATTTAAAATAATTATAAGTAAAATATATATAATAAAAATTAATAATAAAAAAATATAAACATTCAAAACAATTTATAATAATTAAAATAAAAAGGTATATTTTTAATTATTAACAATGAGTTCTAAAGGAAAATATACAAACTAATTAAGATAAAAAGATTGTTACTACTAATTATTAATAGAAAAATAAAAAAATAAAAAATAATAAGATACATAACTTTTTAAATATGAAAATATACAATCTAAAAATATAATATAATTATGCGATTTTTAAACTATTTTTACAATTATTAAAAATTTGTATTCGCAAAAAAGTGTAAAGCAAAAAATAAATATCTAGGCAATCTTTCAATAATAAATCCACTATAGTAAGAAAGTAAAAGTTAAACCCAATTGATTTTTTCTGTGGTTTTAAGCAGTATAAATAGCTTTGAAAAAACACAAATAACAGTTGTGATGGAAAAACACAACCATTTATAATGCAAAGACGCAACTATAAATTTTGAAAAGACACAACTTTTTAAAGCGCAAGTGGCATTTATTTGGATCATTATTATAGATAGAGTGGTTTTTTATGTGATTTGAATTATATAAATAATTCGAATAGACCCAAATTATCTGTGATGAAAAAAATGCAACCATTAATAATGAAAAAATGCAATCATTTATGATGAAAAAATACAACTATTTATATTGAAAGTATGCACCCACAAATTTTGAAACCACACAACTTATCAAAATGCTAATAGTCTTTCTAAACACAACCCTTGAATTATTAGATTTGATGTTATAAAAAAGAATGATGACCTTAAAAACTTTCATTATTTCACAGTTTATTGTAATAATAAATCCACAATAGTAAGAAAATAAAAGTTAGACCTAAATAATTTTTTCTGTGGTTTTGAATGATATAAATAGTTTTGATAAGACACAAATAACAGTTGTGATGAAAAAACGCAACTATTTATAATGAAAAGAAGCAACCATTTATAATGAAAAGACACACCCACACATTTTGAAACGACACAACCTTGTAAAGGGTAAGTGGCATTTATTCAGATATTTATGTTTTGCAAGTGACATTTATTTGGATAGTTACCAGTTTTGTCACCGGTCACCATTATAGTAAGAAAGTAAAAATCAGATCCAAATAATTATTATAGATAGATAAAACATATATTAAAAAAAAAATTTAAAAAATATTTGGCTTAGTAGAAAGAAAACACAACTCTTGAATTATTAGATTTTATTTTATATAAAAGAATGCTGTCATAAAAAAATTTCATTATTTCACAGCTTATTGTAATAATAAATTCATTATAGTAAAAAAATAAAAGTTAAACCTAATAAACCTAAACAAAATAAAAGTTAGACTCAAATAATTTTTTCTGTAGTTTTGACCGATATAAATAGTTTTGAAAAGACACAAATTATATTTAATGAAAGGATGCAACCATTAGTAATAGAAAGACGCAACCACAAATTTTGAAAAGACACAACTTTTCGAAGTGCCAAAGCAACCATTGATAATGAAAAGAGGCAACCACAAATTTTGAAAAGATATAATTTTTCGATATGCAATTGACATTTATTAAGATTGTTATTATATATAGATACTAAACAAGAAAAAATAAATCATAGGAAAAGATATTTATACATAAACAATTGTTAGGATTCTCATCGTGCTCGGAGATAAAAAAAAAAGCACTTGTTTGGGCTATGACAGAAGAAGGAAGTTGACAGCAAATCTGGAGGAGTGCAATATTCTTGAAAAATTTACTCTTCTCAGATTTTGTTTCTTTTTGACTCTTTGACCCCATCTTGGTGAGAGCATTTTGGTCAAGGTACCATTACTGTGTCTTGTCTCAAGTGCTTGTACTTCTGTTCCACATTGAACAGTCTCCAGCTTTCTCCAAAGTCTTTAGACAAGACCAGCTTCAGAGCTTCCACCCCTTCTGCTAAAGCTCCATCCATCTTTCCCACAATCACACAGAGAAACATAAAAATTTCCATTTCCTAGTGTTTGATATATAACTACAATGTCAATTAAATGCTCATAGACTTTACCCGTTCACGAGCTGGCATGCTGAACTTCTGCAACAAGAACGCCTTCGGGTCCATTTGTCCAGGAGGCTTACCGATTCCTTATCATTGTTGGATAATAATGATTTAGAACCAAAGATCTTCATGAGGGAGACAAAATGTTAAGTGGAACAGAGGTCCGAAACTAACCGATTCGTAGCCTTGCAAATTCCTTGTTGCCTCGGAAATGGGCCATTACGCTTTTTAACCTGAGAAGAACACAAGAATAATAGCTACCATTTCAATATTATGACGGTAGATACTGTGATCTGAAACATGTGACAGAAATTGTCTTGCCAGAAGCAGCCAAAATGTAAGAGGGTTACTGATGTACTCTGTTTTTACAAATGAACGCAGCTTAGTGCAAAAAAACAAAAATAGGATACACATACCCGTTGTGACATCCATGACCTCCTTTTTCTTGAAGACGAAGAACACCACATGGCAATTGTGTGTCATCATGCACCTACATCACCAAAGCCCAGAGTAACAATGGAATTAAGTGAGTCTTCTGGTGAAACAAGTCGTAAGGATGGTTAGGCCTTGAGCCGGAAAAAAACGGTAATAGGATTACCACAAGCACACGATTGAGAGGTAACTTGTAATAAGCCGCGAGGGGTCCACTCTGACCAATATGAGAGAGAGGCGCAGTTACAAACACAATCAACCAAAGATAAGAAGCTATGAAATGAAGCTACATTACTGATGTAGATAGATAAATACAGGTAACTTAATTGGAATAATAGACACTTGGACAAGCAAAAGATTTATATGACCATACATCTCTCATCAGATCTCTTAACATGTATTGTCGAACATGCAGACAAAACCTAAGTTTTGGTTAGATGATGATGTTCAAGAATATGTTTGGTAAAAGAGACCAGTCGTTAAGCCTCAGGAATCATTCAGTAACATCATACTTTTCTACACATCCTGGATCCCACAATTTTATATGCATAGATTGCATAATTAACACAATTTTAAAAGTTCATACTAAGTTTAGGAGAAGCAGATTACTGATTCACCGCTCAAGTTCATGTAGGTTTGCGGCTTTGCCAGGATAACGGGAAGATCTCCCACGAAACCTGAGAGGGGACAAGACAAAAATGGAAGCCCTTTAATTCAACATCAAAGCTCACACAGTTTTGGTTCATCACACGAGAGAAAAACTCAATGGTATTTCATACCTTGTCCCATTATAGCCTTGAAATTTACCAGGTTCATCTGAATCCCGACTGACTCAGCGAAAGCATCAATCATTTCAAACCCAATCTGCAGTGTAACGAAACAAGAGCAGACATCTAAAATATTTGAGAATCAACACAAAACCAGATCCAAGCTGTTTAAACACATTATCACTGAAACGTTTGTGTACATTGTGTCTTGTCCCTTTGTATTTGTCCCCAGGATTACCCAACCCCACAAACAGCCATGGCCGATGAACAGAGGAAGTGCAGTAGCAACGCCTTGAGAACCTACTCAGCATAGCTTAAGGATCGGCCAAGCAATCAAGGTTGGGAACTTCTCTCAAATCTAAATCCTTAAACTTTCAAATGCAAGCAAATCTGAAAAGAGAGAGAATGATACACATCAAGATTAGTGTTCAAAAATACTCCAAATCTGACTGCTCTGCGTGAATTTTCCACACAAGAGCTGATACTATAATCACTGTTCTAAACTTCGACCAGCATCTGTGTTTAGTTTTAGTCTATTGTTCTGGATTGAGCGTTTAAATAATGTTTTATTAATCTGCTTGCATCGAACTATTAACATCCATAAACGCAAAGAAATTGCAGAATCAGTACACTTGTGGCATCATACCCGAAACTAGAACTTACTCGCATTTCATTTCAAACTTCCTACGAAGTACTAATCATACAAAACCCACATGCAAATGGAGATAGAGAAGTCGAAAGTTATCAAATTTCCAGAGCTAGGAGAGACTAAAAGAATTTCCGACAAGACCAAATCACAGGAGTAGACAGAAAGGTCCAGAATCAGCTCACGTGTTGGGTTTAAGAAGCCTCGATTGGTCCTTAATCAGTAAATATCCAAACCTCAAGTTGCATACAGAAAGAGGAATAGAGAAATAAAGAAGTTAATGGGAGAGAATAACTCACCGGGAAAGCTGAGATAGAGTGAGAGGAGAGACGACGGTCAGAGAGAGAGAGAGAGAGCCGGGCAATTTAGTCGGAGTTAGGGGTTTAGTGACGGGCACGGTCAATGGATTAGGTTCTGAATTGCAATTATTCGGGTTACACAATTATTTTTATTTTGTCGGCAATTCGGATTACACATAAGTAAAAGATATTCGTGGACACACATGAATTAGGGGATTTTCAGTACTAAAATTTCAGATATTTACAAATTAAATTATTTCATAAATAGCGGATATTCAGATTTTTAAATAAATTAATATCGTAATTAGGATTTGAGTACTAAATTTCAGATATTTGACGATTTAATGAAATTTTTAGGCTGGATAAGTATCGAATAATTAATATCATCATTTGTTAGAATTGAGGGTTACAAGTATTTTCTTGTCATTAAACAAGAAGCAAAAACAGGCTAGGATTAATTGCAAAAAAAAAAAAAAAAACAGGCTAGGATTTGTAATATACAACTGGACAAACCATTTATTAGCTAAGAAAGCAGGCTAAGATTTGAAGATTAGTGTTTTCTTTAGCTTTTACAAACTGCATAAACTTTTTAATGATTTGACCCCCCCAAAAAATTATTTTAATGCTTTCCGGAGCCTGAAGTTCCATATTCCACGTTTAATGATTTTGGTTTGCCTTCCATATATATATATTTCCAATACGATCGGCAAGGAAATTCATACTTTTCCTGAATCGTAGAGCCTATTATTGATAATATAAAATAAATATTGTATTGAACCAAAAATGACTTTGGAGTAATGTGAACTTTCTATGTTTTCCATAGCCTATTATCACTCATATATCTTCACTTCCATTTCCAATTTAACATGTGGGAGGAAAAGCTGGTCGAAGCAGCATCTTCTGAAAGCGTACAACCCAAAAAAAACATCCACAAAAGCTTTTTTCCTTTGACTAGGCAAGACCTTATTGTACATTTGAGATGATGGAATCAAAAGTTTTTTATTACCAAATTCATATGCACTTAAAAATATTTGTACTGTATTTATGATATTCAGTAAAAAAAAAGGCGAGCTTTGAATTAATAAAAAATAGTACGTAAATGGGACACACGCATTGGCTATCGATTTATATCATTCCCACCCTTGAAAATACAGCTAATGACATTATCATTGCTTGCTATTATATTTTTCTTTCCGTAATTTAATTAGGCCCACGGCCCACCCCAGTGACACCACCTCAAATCACGAATAGTTGGAATAAGGAAATAAAAATAAAAAATAAATATATAATTATCTCTTCCGAAACCTCATCCCTCCTCGCTCCTCCTCATTCCGCTTACTCTCTCTCTCTAGACTCGAATCCTAAGGGGAGAGAGATAGCTAGTGCGCATTTTAACCCTAGTTTTTTTCCCGCCGCCACCTGCCATGGCTTCCGAGTCGAATCAGTTTCAGCAAGCGCAACTCGCGATGGTTCTCGGCTCCGATTCGGCGCCGTTCGAGACGCTCATCTCCCACCTCATGTCCTCTTCCAACGAGCAACGCTCCGCCGCCGAGGCTCTCTTCAATCTCGCCAAGCAAAGCAATCCCGATACCCTCGCCTTGAAGCTTGCTCATCTTCTCCAGCTTTCTCCTCATCCCGAGGGCCGCGCCATGGCCGCCGTCCTCCTCCGGAAGCTGCTCACACGCGATGACGCCTATCTCTGGCCGCGTCTCTCCCTCTCCACTCAATCCTCCCTCAAATCCTCGATGATGTCTTGTATTCAGCGCGAGGAGGCCAAATCGATCTCAAAGAAGATTTGCGACACAGTCTCCGAACTCGCATCCGGGATCCTCCCGGAGAACGGGTGGCCGGAGTTGTTGCCGTTCGTTTTCCAGTGCGTATCGTCTGACTCCCCCAAACTTCAGGAATCCGCGTTTTTGATTTTGGCGCAATTGTCGCAGTACGTTGGGGAGACTCTGACCCCTCACATCAAGCATCTCCACGGCGTATTTCTCCAGTGCTTGAGCAGTAACTCTGCTAGCTCCGACGTCAAAATCGCCGCTCTCAACGCCGTCATTAGTTTCGTTCAGTGTCTATCGAACTCAACGGAGCGGGATAGATTCCAAGATGTTCTGCCTGCGATGATCAGGACGTTGACCGAATCCCTCAACAATGGGAACGAAGCAACTGCACAGGAGGCACTCGAGCTTTTGATCGAATTGGCTGGTACTGAGCCTCGGTTCCTCAGACGGCAGCTTCTTGACATAGTTGGTTCGATGCTTCAGATCGCAGAGGCGGATTCGCTCGAGGAGAGTACGCGTCATCTCGCGATTGAGTTTTTGGTAACTCTGGCTGAGGCCCGTGAGCGTGCCCCTGGGATGGTCAGGAAGCTCCCTCAGTTCATCGACAGGTTGTTTGCGGTTCTTATGAAGATGCTCGAGGATATCGAGGACGATCCTGCTTGGTACAGCGCCGAGACCGAGGACGAGGACGCTGGCGAAACGAGCAACTACAGCATGGGACAAGAGTGTTTGGATCGGTTGGCAATTTCTTTGGGAGGGAACACCATTGTTCCGGTTGCATACCAGCAGTTTTCTGCTTATTTGTCTGCCTCCGAGTGGCAGAAACACCACGCTTCTTTGATTGCGCTTGCTCAGATCGCTGAAGGTTGCTCAAAGGTAAATTGTTCGTGGTGACAACTGCATTACCCGTCTTTTAAGTAACGTTTTTGTCGGTAGAGTTTAAGGTTTTGTATTTTTGGAGTACTGGCCAAACAAGTACATCAGTTTGGGGTTTTCATTTTGATCTTGCATTTCATGAACTTTGATGTAGGTGATGATAAAAAATCTAGAACAAGTGGTGTCCATGGTTTTGAGCCAATTTCAAAGTCCTCATCCTCGCGTAAGGTGGGCAGCCATAAACGCGATTGGACAGTTGTCCACAGATTTGGGTCCAGATTTGCAAAACCAACATCATCAGAGAGTGCTCCCTGCACTTGCTGCTGCTATGGATGATTTCCAGAATCCACGAGTGCAGGTTAGATTCCCATTAACCTTGTATATCTGATTATACAATCTTCTGACACTTTCTAAAGCAGTAACTTGTGACCTCATGCAGGCTCATGCTGCTTCGGCTGTACTCAACTTCAGTGAAAATTGTACACCTGAAATATTGGCACCTTATTTAGACGGAATAGTGAGCAAGTTACTTGTGTTACTACAAGTAAGTTCATTGTGCAACTTTATTTCTTAGGATAAGTAACTCAATAGAGCAAAGGAAGCTTGCGCTCAATTGATTGACTTTGGATTAAAATGTTGTTTGTAATAGAATGGAAAACAAATGGTGCAAGAAGGAGCTTTAACAGCTCTTGCTTCAGTTGCTGATTCATCGCAGGTATATGTGAAGAAATTATGTATCTATTGTTTTCCTTGTTTTCCTTATATGTAACTCTTGATCTGACATCATCTAAATATGCAGGAACACTTCCAAAAGTACTATGATGCTGTCATGCCGTATCTAAAAACTATTTTGATGAACGCAACTGACAAAACTAAGCGGATGCTTCGTGCCAAATCCATGGAATGCATCAGTCTTGTTGGAATGGCAGTTGGAAAGGACAGATTTAGGGATGACGCTAGGCAGGTATGCTTATAAGCATGGGTGAAATCAATTTGCACGTACTGTCAACATTCATGATATATGCTCTAATTCTATTTTTGTCTTACTGCCTTCAAACTCTCTATATGATTTCCATCCTATATATCCTTCGCTTGAAATTTTTTTACGTGTCCATGCCAGGTCATGGAAGTGCTTATGTCATTGCAAGGATCTGAAATGGAGGCAGATGATCCAATAACGAGTTACATGTTACAGGTCAATGCTAGGTCTATATGTTAATTATAAACGTGATTAGTTAAGTTCAGTTGCTTAAATTTACCTTAAATTTTCACAGGCATGGGCTAGGCTTTGCAAGTGTCTAGGTCAAGATTTTCTCCCATACATGAGCGTTGTGATGCCTCCTTTGCTTCAGTCAGCTCAACTTAAACCAGATGTAACAATTACATCTGCGGACTCAGAAGATGAAGCAGAGGATTCCGATGATGAAAGGTTTTAATTCTTCTTGACACTTCATCTGATTGTTACCATGTCTCTATAGCTTACTTTTTTTGGTTCGTATGCCTTTGCATAGTAAAACCATTTTTAAGTTTTTGAAAAATGGAATGGCTAGCTTCTCCTGCATAGTTTTTTTTTCCTTGAGATATTTATGATGCTGTGATTCTGTTCCTGTTATAATATGGCAATTATAAAAAAAAATCTTTTTTGTTTTATGTAACAAATAATATTCAACCGTTTCTTGTCAAAGTAGTTTGTTGTTCATTGTTTACTCCGAACTATCGTATCCAATTAAGCTTGCAATAGTTAATAGGTGAGAGGAATTATAATAAAAGCATAACCTATGGTAAAACAGTGAGTGTGAGTTCATCGGGCATGAATTTGTTCTAATTTGTGATAATTCCATTTCTTGATGCAGCATGGAAACTATTATCCTGGGAGACAAAAGAATAGGAATAAAAACAAGTGTCCTAGAGGAAAAAGCCACAGCTTGTAACATGCTTTGTTGCTATGCTGATGAGTTAAAAGAAGGATTTTTCCCCTGGATTGATCAGGTTAGTATGGCTAAACAACTCTAAATTTTGTCAGTTTCCGTTGTTGTTCTTGGAACGGGGGTAGACTAAATTTGTATATTGTAGGTTGCACCTACGCTGGTTCCTTTGCTGAAATTCTATTTTCACGAAGAAGTTAGAAGAGCGGCTGTGTCAGGTATATCAGTAAATATATCGTCTATAATCCATTCTTTAGATCTGTAGAACGCAGGTTTTTAATAAATTGGATAATTTTTCTTTCTAGCCATGCCTGAACTAATGCGCTCAGCCAAGCTGGCAATAGAGAAAGGATTATCTCAAGGGCGTGATCTATCTTATCTGAAGCAGCTTTCTGACTACATAATTCCAGCCATGCTGGAAGCTTTGCATAAAGTTAGTGTGTGTTATGTTGATTTTTTTTTTAACTTTTGGCTTTGATCCGTTTTTATGGGGCTGATGATCGGATTTCATGTAGGAACCTGATACAGAGATCTGTGTGAGTATGTTGGAAGCTATCAATGAGTGCTTGCAGGTAACTTTTTATTAGC